TAGGTGGCGGGGAAGTGGTGTTCGGAGGGTCGGTGGCACACAGACGTTGTCACAACAAATACTCCCCGAATTTTATATAAATTTTAAATACAATTTGCTATTGAGCCCGCCAAAAGCGACAGAAACAACAGCCATGGGGACGGGTTTCCGGGGAACGGGTTAGACGTCTATGCATGCGAACGAGCGAGCATATAGCAGCAGTCTGCAGCTGGGGACGGGCAAGAGGACAAACTGTCGCTTAATTGGAAATTGTGTATTGTTTGAGAGAGCGGCGAAAAGGCAGAGATAGTCAGCTATGTCCTCTCTTCCTTTCGTTTTGTATGGCCAAATATTGGTGCACATGTCGACTAGGGGGATATCATTGCAGATCATTCTTCATTTTATGGTGTTTATAAACAAATTGGTTAGCTGCAGAATTACATATATCTTAGCAGAGTCCTTTGAACGCATTTTCCTCCTGAAATCTCAGCCTCCTTAACCTGGAAGTCCACCAAAAAGCCTTCTTCACAAACTGAAAGGATAAGTCCAACCCCACGCACTCGGAAGGAACGCGTCAAATCTATTAAAAACTCGCACGGAGGAGGGAAAAGTGCCGAAAAAAACATTTTAGCCGGAAACGGGACAGAAAGGATACAGATACTCGTCCGTAAGGAAGGGACGACAGACTGATTGCCATGCTTGGTCCCGAGTGATGAATGGGCGAATGCATTTTCCGCTGTTATTTAACTTGACAACCGCAAATCGTGGACAGGAGAACGGCTCGCCAAAAGTATAAAGCTACCCACCGAAGCGAGCCGCAGATAAATTTTATAAATTAAATAGACAAAGTCCCGGCCAGCATACACGGTCGGAAAGCATATTACCGGAAAATTCCCGCCGCCCGGCTCCCCGACCCAAAATCGACCAGAAAAAGAAAATCTCATTACAATTTCAACGCGATCAGACAAAGCAGCCTCAGCAGGACGGCAGCGAGCTGAGGAAACCCGGATGATGAAATGGATTTTTATCCCAAAACAGGACACGGAATGAAAGAAGCATGCGAGGATAAAGCGAGATGGGAATTATGGAAAATGAAGGACCACCCGTAAAAACGTCAACAATAAACCGCTCTTCTAACCCTCAGTTTGCGGGCACTCATTAGGCACTGGGTCACCCTGTAAGTTCTTAATGAAACGCATCGTTAAATAGTTTATGATAAACCAAAATTAGTTTAAAACTATCAGTTTATCATGGATTTACCGTGGGAAGTCCCAAGTAGAATGTTATTACCTGTTTATGAACAGAAATATTCAGAAAACGTCCATCAAGCTAGCAAGGTCCGTCACAGGGTAGCAAAAAAATCACGACATCAGCAGAAGTGGAAGCCATTCCTCGCTCCACCGAAGCGACCCTTCCCACACCACCTCCCTGGAACACAAGTGCACGGGACGAATGTTGGTTCTCGGCGCGTAAAAATGCAAATCCCAAGTCAAAGCTTAGCGGCGTTGCCCCCGAACGTGGCAACCTGGCAACATACGTGCCACCGTCCCCTCCCACGCCCTCACACCCGAGCAAACACACAGATTTGAGTAATGGATGAAAAAAACCTACGCAGGAATGGAATTTCAAAACGTATGTCCCGGCATAATGCAGCACACTCCGGCGGGAGCGGGTTATTCCGCCGGATCTGGTCAGTTGTTGTGAAGGCGCACCAGGATGAGCATGGGGCAGCAAAATTCAATAAAAATGAAAAAATACAGCGGGGGCCAACCATTCCACGAAGCCAGAATTAAAGGCCAGTTTGGGGACCAGGCTGCTTTCCAGGGCGGGTGAGTAGATGGTCTGCCTGTATGCATGACTCTCCGGATCAATGGCGAAAGTGCGTTGAAGTGTAGCGCAAACAATGGCAGAAGGCATAAGCAAATGGGCCACGAGATGTTCTCTGCTGGGTGGCCAGACAAAAAGCGGAAAATGAGAAACGAAGAATCCTAGTAGATGCAACTTTCCCCTTTGCTTGCTTTACGGAATTCGGACTTTGAGTTACTCCTCAGCTTATCAAAATTTAGTTTCTTATAAGCGTTTAAATCCCAAACCTATAGTTAAGACCAATCTCCAAAAATATATGAAAGCTGACCATTGGATGGAAAAACCCATTCCCAAAGGATGTCCCGCAACCTATTAGTTTTCATTGCCACGAAGCGCTGATTAAAAGACGCTTCCGCCTCTCCCGAAAAAACGCACCAAGAGACGCATCTCCCGCAAAGGACTCCTCCAGTCCTCGCCACCCCCGCCTGCAAATGGCCATTATCCTTTGCGTTCAAGCCTTGCAAAGGGCCAACTAAACAGACGTCAAAATCATTGCCATTACACGGGGGGTTAGGATCCGGACAGGAACTGGTAGTTGGATTTCGAGGGCAGGACGGATACGAGGTTGGGAGGAAGCATACAATGAAAGGACACTGGCTAAAGGCGCCGGCCCTCCGCCCTGGCCAGTGGCGGCGGTCAACTGTCCCGCCTTAACCCGTCAGCCGCATGCCTGGTCGCGGAAAAAATACCAGGAAAGGGTGGGCAATGTGAAAGCGTCGCCGGTCCAAGCTCAAGTAGCTTGTGTGCCATTTTTTCCATTTCGCTCGCCGTTTTTGTTTTCAACTTTTGCTCTATTTCCGCCATCGCCGCCGCTGTCTGGCTGGCGTTTTGGCGCGGCTTGTTAGCGGTGGCGGATTGGAGATGGTGATCCGAGATCCGGCATCTGGCACTCGTGAGTGGGGAGTGAGGAAAGGGGGCCAATGCGGTTGTCAGCTGCTTTATGAGACGTCTCTGCTAGTCTATTCTGGGCGCTTTGTACGGGCATTCCGCATGCAAAGTGAAAATGTTGTCGCTGTTTAATGTCAAGCGTTGACTTTTTTCGTGGCCACTCCAAGGACCCTTGACTCTGCACATCCTCCCATTCATTTTTCCCCTCAGACAGTTGCAGACGTCGTATTGTCATGCCCCGCAAGGCTGATGTACCTGGCCGATTCCGCTGGAAAGGAACTGTCTTGATGGATTTGCCAGGTTAATCTCCAATTGGTGGTCACTTAAAGTGGAAGTTTTGGGAACAAGTATGCTATTTTGCGGTATCAATGCTAGTGGTGTGGGCAATAATTAGTCTTTCTCTAAGGTGCTTCGTCCATTATAATGCAAGTCAACGGGATCATATCTCCTTAGATTAGAGTTATTAGAGTTACTACTACGTTAAACTAAAGTCAAAAGACATAATTTTGTTAATATAAACTCAACTAAAATTGGCTAAGAGGCAGAGTGGTCTCCCCTGTACTGTCTAACATCATTCAGTATTTCGGATTATGCTCCCCCTCCCCATCAGTGCTAACATTAGATTTACTCGGGTGGTAGTGGCACATAAGCAAAGGATGGGGGTCTGACCAAGGGGTTCGGTCACAAATGGATAAAAAATGTTTTTGTTTGCAATCATATTATATTTATGCAATCATCCGCCGGCCCTCTCTGGCCACTCCGGTCTATCTGTTTCATTTGGCACTTCTATGCCTATGCTCCCGGTTAACCCTCTTCTGAATACCACGGTTTTCCATCCACTATCTGAGGAGTGCGAGATAATATCCTCGTTTGGGTTAATCAAGGCTGGAGATTGTATTTTTTGTTTCTGGATAACCGTTTCACAGTGGTCACCAGCAACCTCCTAATGTAACTTTCTTAACTATGGCCAAGGATAGTAGGTACACCCTGGCGACTCACCACCATAAATAAATTATTCCAACTTAATAATATCTTTGGTAGATAACCTCATCTAAGAAACATTAACTTAAGTTTTAGTTCATTATTCGCTTTTTGGCTGACATCAGTTGCTTCTAAACAGCCCACTGTGCAACGCCGAAGGAAGTTCTGTTTGGCTATTTGCAATCCCATTTGGGCTGTTTACCTTGCATTCCACTGGCCAGGACCAAAATAAAAACCCGTGTTTTCGAAACAGCACAGTTTTAGAGTGTTCTTGGGCCCCAAAATATTTATATATGTAAATAATGCTCGGATGTATGTTTGGTATATGTGCAAAGGTGTATATATCAGCGCCGTGGAACAGGCCCAGCCCTGTTACTCTTATTATTACTTTTTTGCGGCCACGTGTCATCTTTTTTCCCTTTGAGAGTGTGAGTGTGTGAGTGAGTACTTGCACATGTGTATGGTTGTGATACGCCCTTTTCGGACACTGCATTTTTAATATAATTTTTACAACACCTCCTCCCACCTCGTCTGGCCAACCTCCCAACCTCCCAAGCACCCACCCAACCACAGTCGCAATTTTTCCGGATTTTTTCCACAGTCCTGTTATTATTGTTCCACCCCCTCCACCCCCTCCGGCAGCCTTGTTTGCAGTGGGCGTGCATACGTATATGTACTCATTTCCACTTTTTTATTTCACATGAGCCCGGAATCAGATTCTTTTGGGGGTTGGTATCCGCCCATTGGCAACTGTCCGGTTTGCAGGTGGTCCTGCCTCTGCATAAGCGGGATGCTTTGTCTGGCGCTCTGCTCGTGGAGCTACAGGGTATGTCCTATTCGTAAATCAGCTGAAAGGGATGGTTCCTCGTATGGCAAAGTACAAATCTACAATTTTATTCTCTTAAGGGAAATACTTGGTCGAATACCAAACTGGAGTTCTGGATAGTAGATAGGAAGTAAACAGATTCTCTGGCAGGGCAGTCAGTAGGAGGTATCCCGTAGTCGGTCACTCCACTGCGGCGTTTTTTCTTATTTTATTTATATTTTATATTTTAATTTCAGCGCAAGCAAGAGAGTGGGTGTGGCAGAGCCTGCTGCGGAGGTGGTGATGAGGAGGCGGCGTTGTCACGCGTAGACTCGACCGAGAGAGGGGGCGGCAGAGGTGGGGGCTTCCGTAAGCTGGAACCATTTTTTTCGCCGCATAAGCAAAAAGTCTTTTAATGAATTTTTACGCCGGACGGGGATGATATTGTTTTTTAGTGAATTTGATTAATTAAAAATATAAATTAAAATTGCATAACATTTTAATTGAAATGAAACGAAGTGAGCGATGAAGAGCGCGCAATCAGTAAAGTCAATCAAATGTAAGTTCTCCCCTGATTCCTAAGGGTTCCTTGGATTCCTTTCCAAGAATATATATTTTAGTATATAATAAAAACCACAGACTGACCACATCGTTCGCTCGTCTCTTAAGTTGGTATCTTGTAAAATACAATATATTCTGTAAACTTAAGGACTAGATATACTTAGCAAGATCCGACTTGGCAGATTCTTCACACTTTGACAGTTATATATTTTCTCAGTGTTCTGATTTAAAAGAATAGCCATAATATAGTCCGTCCACCTCACAGGAAAGACATGCAAAGTTCAAAGTTCCACTGTTCTAATAATTCGCAGTTCTCGAGAAATCGAAAGTGAAAGCGATTTCATATCTTAATGTTGTGAATGTTGTGAATAATGCCAAGTGGAAAGATTCTCGTTCGATGGAGAGATATTCAGTGGTTGTAGTCTTACTTATTTTCTGCAAAATACCGAATCGTAGGACAAGTAATTTCCCTCTGTGTAGACCCGACTGCGGACCCGCTCAAAAAGGTCACCAGACAGCTTAACCAAGTAACTTAACCCGCTCCCGATCTTGGGGGAACTCAGCTTGGCCTGACCACAAAGTAGGGCTGCTCGGAAGTGGGGCAAACGACCCGCTCGAACAGCTCAGGCACTTTCGAAGGCCGCGGCTTCTGGTCGTCCGGCAGGAGCATGCTGTTCCACAGCATGTTCGAGATGATCGCGTGACCTCGTTGGCTGAAGTGGAAGCAGTCGTGTGAGAAGAACCGCCAGTCTGTGCTCCCATCGGGCAGCGTGGGGGCCGTCAGGTTGGCCAGCATCGGGTGGGCGACGATGGCGAAGTCCTGGCGGTGGAACTCAGGCAGACGAGCGATCTCCATGTCCAGCCGCTGCCAACGGGTTAAAGTCTCCATGCGCTCCGCGAGTTGGGTGCGATTTAGTCGGTCGTTGATCAGGCAGTGGCACCCGACACGGTGCACCACGAAGCACTGCAGCGGGACCTGGGTCATGGTGCTCAGCACCAGCGGAATATTTGGTACAACGATCAGGTTGATCAGCAGGCGGGGCACATGGTCGCGCAGAAGCCGGAAGGCCTGGCGTAGATCGCGGGCGTGCTGGTCGAGGAAGGTCTGCGGAGTGTCCCAATGACAAAGGTCCGAGCAGATGTCGTTGTTGCCCACGTACACAGTCAGCAGCTTCCAGTGGCGTTTCATGTCCACGTTGGGATCGCGCCGCAACAGATCGATGAGGACCCTGGCTTGAAAGGGTAAGTCCCGCGACATGATCATCGGCTCGGCGATGTTCAGCCGTGAGGATCGGTGGTTGATCACCAGACTATTGCTCACCGCGAAGCCGTACAGCTTTGGATTGAAGATCCTCAGGATGTTAGGAAGGGTTGTGAACCGCCGCCAGTTGGCCAGACCTCCGCCCGAGAAGGTCAGACCCCGAAACTCGTTGATCATGTCAATGGCGTTGTTGGACAGAATCCCGTTGCCAGCAGACAGGGAGTCGCCGAAGGCAGCTATAATGTCGATGTCACCCGGCCTTAGGTGCTCTATTGAAGTGGGTGGGCTCGGGGACCGTGTGTTGTTGGTGGGACAGGAAAAGGGCACTTTCTTCGGCACCTGGTGCTGGAGCTTTCCCTCTCTTCTGCCCCGGCTGCTCAACGCCTCGATGTTATTGAGAGCCCATCTCAGCGTGGTCTGCCTGGTGTTGAGGAAGAGGTGCCGCAGATCCTGGTCGATGTCGGTGTACTGCTGGATGCCGTTCTCCGGCACTCGGGGATTGTAGGACTGGGCACGGACGCCGATGTCGGCCAGCAGTCGATCAGATCGATTTTGTCGCCGGATGCGCCGATTTGCAGATACAACACTCGATAGGAATAGGAGTAGTGAGCAGAGGCACAATGCACAGTGGATTTTAGCCATTTTGGCCAATTCGTCAGTCTCAGAAGGTGAAGATTTCGGTTTTTAGAGTTCTTGTCCCATCGGATTTACTAAGCGAGCTCACGCAAGCTCTCGCCCGACGAACTTCTGAACGCGTTCTCATCCGACAGGCCAATGTGTCGATCGTTTTTAATGCCCGCCTTAAACTATATGAATTCGCAGGCCGGATCCCCTCGCGGCTCTGTTAACGACTGGCTCTCAAACTCATTTCTTTCCATTAAAGCCAACAACAAGCACCACACGATCGCAGAGGTCGGGGAGGCGGACGGGATATGGACGGGGCTCAGAACTTGACTTAAAAGCGTTGACCGAGACATTAACAATCATAAAAATGACAGAGCGGCCTGATAGCAGCACCAGCCTCTGGCTCCAGCTCGAAAACACACACAAAGTGCCCTGCGGTTCAAAGATGTTGGCAAGAGGCACGACAACAGCGAAATGCCCTAAACAAAATACAGTTTAGAGTACGAAATAATTACCTTGTGGCGAGGCATGGATGCTACCGAAACAAGCCCAGAAAACGCACATTTGTTTGTGAATACACAAAAATGAAACAATAAATATAATTTAATTGAAGCCACAGAGGAGCTGACCCTAGCAGGGGCGTAGACTTTGTGCCGGGGGTTTTTTGGCTTGGAATTCTGGTCATTGGGCTAAGATGCATACCCGGCTGGGAGCTCCCAATTTGAATAAAAGGCTTATGAGGTGGTTCCCTAAAGTAAGTGCTGCTCTTCGGAACCTTTTATGACACTTTTCTGGCTTCCGACTGTCAATATTCGTTTTATACTTTTCACTCTTAAATGATCTAAGGCAGGTAATTAAACAGCTATATAGTTTAAGCACCCCATTAAGGAGGAACTTTTAAGACGTTGAAAGTTCAATCTGGTTCTGGTCGGGTCCATCCAAGACTCTGGCGGAAAATGTATCGCATTAGATCTCCGACAGCCCATTCATGCTTGATTCCAAGCCCAAGCCCAAGCTAGAGAAACACAAACGCAAAAAAGTTTTCAAAATATTTGCACATTAAGCTAAAGTAAGTTTGTAATGTAATTGTTGCCCGAGATGCTTAAAATGTTAATAGCTAATTGTTTGTTTGGATCTCTCGAAAGAGTCTTGAGACTTGAGTGCTTTGCGAAAACATATCCGTTTTGCCGAACTTGATAGCGGTTATTGCCCACACAGGCAAGACAATTTAAATAAAATATTATTAAGTAAAGTGATCTATAAATATATTGTGCGGCTCATAACTTGACTCACGTCGAGTCTTGTTTTCGAGGCGTGTCATCTGAAGGCTGTAAAGACAGCCTGCGGCCAACAGCAAGGGGCCTGAACGTGATGGAATTTTACTCCGCGGTTCCGGCTTCCGCTCGACCCCGCTGCTCCCTCCTTTGGCGGCTTGGGTCCTCTTTGGGGGCAGAGCAAAGCCTGCTCATACAGACTTTAAGCGCGACTATACTAAGTATTTACACAGCTAAAAGCAAACAGTCCAAGTGCCAAGATAAGGTTCTACCTTAATAGTAACCCTTAAACCCGGAAATTACCGTTTTCACCTCCCCTGCATATCGTAAATACTAGAAAGCCTTTTGTTTACCTTAGACTTATTGACATTTGTTTAGCTGTAAGGCTTGCAGCGTAAATTACCTTTAATTACCTGGCCAAAATGAGGAAAGTCATCCTGATTCATGAAAAAGTATACATCCTAGCAGTTGTCTGGAGAGTTTCCGAGGCAAGAAATAAGAAAACTAACTAAAGAATGCGTTCAATTTTATGAAAAAGACATGCGCGGAGTAATACTAGTCTGAGATAAGAATATATAAAACCCGAACTTGTCAGAAATGGTACCTAATTAAGGTTAAGCTGCCTGTATTTTTAAGCCAATACAAATTTTGTTTCAAGTGTATAGAAAAGTTGTCCCTATAAAGGATACCTAGTTCTTCATGAAAGATATCAATCCTCGGTTCCTTAAGTACTGCATTTGGCATCTTCAATGCGAATTATGCCTTTCTAGGGTTCCGTGGGAAAGACTCATGTCTAATCTCCGAAAATGTGTAGTAGAATATCTAAGAATTGCTGTGAGAGAAACGTACTCTTGATTCTTGATGTTCTTGATCAACGTCAAATACCGAATCGAGTTAGACATCAATATTGTATTTATAATACACTACAAACGTCGGAACGGATTCCATATTTACCATATATAGCTTTATTAAATCACATCATATAGCTTCCAAAGAGATGCTTGAAAAATTAGAAGAAACAAGAATAAAATACCCGTTACCCCTTAGCACACAGCTCCTTTTATAAATATAATTGCGCCACCTTGTGGGACATCCACCCATATTTCCTTAGTGGCGGTGACCGTACGCCACCTGTAAGGCCGTTTGACCCCAATAGCTTTGCAACTTCTTAGATAGTGGTGGTGGATTGAATTTCGTTGTTCCGTTCAGATGGAGTACTTCGTTTGCAAAATTTCTGAAATTAGTAAAAGTGGGCCGCTAATTCCATACGTTTCGGATAAGTAGAGACTAATGAATGGTCTCAAAAGTTATTAATATTACATTAAGATGTTCTTAATGCTTCAATCAAGCATGGTAAACAAAATGTACTCTGTGAATTAAGCAAGATAATTGTATTAGCAAAGTTAATAACCAGTTAATAAACTTGTTCGAATAGTAAGTCCAAGCCAATTATCTCTATAGAATTGGAATTCTATAATGTGTCAATTTCCAACCCATAAATTCTACGACCCTTCTAGGCGACTGTCCGCGTTTAATAGCGCGCTGATTAAGACGATCGTTTATGTAAGGTTCAAGGGGTCTAATCGGAGGGCTGACTATTATTCGATATTTATTCCCAATAGTAGTTCAGCTCTGAGTGGCATTCACTGACATTTAGAGTCTCAGTAGAAGCAAAAAATGTTATGATAATAGAGCTCAATTAAATAAGTGCTGTACAGCTTAGGCTATTTGCCTTTCCCCGCAGCTCCATTTCATTTAAACTAATTGAGACTCATTAAGTTCTGCTAAGTGGAGTTATTTTTGTTGCTTCAACATGCCTCATGTCTCAGCACGCAAGCAACATTGCTTCGTGCTCCTGTCAACTGAGCTTAGCAACACGAGAAGCTTGGCTTCATCTGACCGAAAGTCTTTGGCCCTAATTGAGATTAATTTGCAAACAAGACGAGTATAACTACTCATTTGCTAGTCCATCTAAAGATTTAGCGACGTTTTTGGCACATTTTATTCCCGTGAGAGAGGCTTTAGAGAAGCTTTCAGAGCGGCTCTGCTCGAAAGCTCGATTTCCAAAAGTTAAATTAAGTTTTATGTGCTCAACCAGGTTGCCAGACTGCCCGAATTTGTAGAGTTCACCACTATTTTTACAAGAAAATCATTTGTTAGAATAATAATAATTAAACGAATTCACCATTTGGTTGTTTAAAGTTTATTTTGCAACGATTATAATTATACTTAATTATTGTAAAGAACAGTTATAGCTATATTGCAGAGAACGTGTCTGATAATCTAAGGGAATGTGCTAGCTGCATGTCAATTATTTTTGTGTTCGCTGGGCTTACACGATATTTAATTAGGGGCAAAGCGTAATTAAAATAAAAATATTATTTTAAATAAATACTGATATAGGAATTTAGTTACCTAAATAATTAATTTGATGGACAGACAAGGCTTCAGTGACCGCCAAAAACACGATGACGTTATAATAATACAAATACTCGCCTGTTCGCGGGCTTATTTGACTTTCGACTTTCTCATATAATATTTCCATGCTATCGTGGAGGGTATTTTTGATAAAAGGAATATATCTTTATGAATTAAAGAATACAAATAGATCACATATGTACTCATCGTCAAAATCATTATGCGAATAATTGTCTCTAAACAAAAGGTCCCCATCTTTGAACAGTGTATATGAAAAGATACCGAAATAACTTCCCCCGATCATTCGAACATCAGCTTGATTAGCAGCTGCGGGGTTAGGTTAGGTTAGACATATTTCGTATATTTAGATAATTTGCATACCCCCCTTATAACATACTTATCTTTTGCGATCAAAACAAAAAGATATATATTTTCATATTCAAAGTCTTCACACTTTCTAAAGTAAACTGAATGGAGGAGGGTTAAGCTTCTTTGCCCGTCAAGTTGCAGATGCACTTCAACATTTTTAAAAATATTTGATAAACTGGGAGCTAAAGCTCGATGCTATCGGAACGAAGTCAAAGGATGTTTCTGGTTACGAAGGGACAGTTTCACAATTACCACCTGGTTAATAAAAACGTTTGACACATTCGTGGCACAAACACACATTACCACGATCGGGCAGATGAGCAGCAGCGGTAGTCAGCGGCGCATTCGACATGCCCTGAGTGGGTTGCTTCGTCGGCTGACCGACTGGCTCTCTGTGATAACAAACGTCAGCCAGAGCCTTCTTCTCTCCCACTTTGCCCGCTTTGTCCCCACACGACCAGCCCGTCAAGCTAGCCAAGAGCGAGTGCCAAGCCGCTTGCGCAGTCGCAGCTTCAAGGTCGCCTATTGTAAAAGAAAGCGCCAGCGCGCGGCCTTGAACACGAAAAATATGTTAAAAGCCAATGGCTGAGGCAAGCAGAAGACGGGGCATGTGCCAGATAACCGATGATATGGGATGAGAAACTTGAACTTCGATTTGCCCTCTTCGTTTCGCATGGAAACGAATGTTTTAACCCGAAAACCGAAAAACTATCGAAATGTGGACAAACAAGCCAGTTTAGAGAGCCATAAACTTTATGCTTGAGTAAGACAATGGACAAAAGCCAATTTTTCGAACCAATTTTTACTCGTATAGTTGTTACTAATTTTGGATTTTTTTTCTTTTTTGCAAGCTTGTGCAAGACGGCAAAACAGAAATAAACAAGCAGCATCCCAAAAATCGAATTAATATAAATTGGGGTTAAACGGTTGGCAAATAGGTTAGCTCGCTGGGTTTGGCAGTGAGGAAATTGAAAACTTGCTTTTGAATCAAAAACCAGAGAAGAATTGAGCAGATTGCAGTTTTAGTACGGTAACAGTTTGCTTGGGTTAATATTAGTTTTTACTACAAAAACTCATTCAGTTTATTTCGTTGAATTAGTTAAATGCCATCTCAGAAAAGCTTCAGCTTATGGTTAGATGGCCAGATCCCAAACTTCTCTGTGGGCTAGCTTAGAACAGGAAGCGCCAACTAATGAGGTGACAGACCGCATGAGGGCTAACCCTCGTTCAAAGTGTACAAAGCGAACTCTGTTTCAGTGCTCAAGCAATTAGAGTGATTCCAAGTCCAAATTGTCTTTGGCAACGCATTTACATTTGTCTGATCATTAAGTCGGATTTATTGTTTTTATTATTTAGCTAATGGAATGTTTAGTTCACGTGCACAAAGGTCAACCATGAAGCTAAAAACACACTAGTGAAGTTAAAAAACCTAAAAACTTAGGAAACTCCCCTACTTCAGCTTAAACAGGACTCTATCGTCTCCACGATAAGTGACAAGAAGGGACATCTAGCACCCTGATTTGTGATTATCTTAAACCTCTAAAGAACTGTTCACCTTGACCTGGGAATTGTATATTTCAGTCGGTACAGAGAAGTGCTAATCAATTAAAACCAGAAACATAAAGTTCTAAGTGCGCCCTTAGCTGACATTTTTAAGCCCGAGCTAACTGCAGTCGTTAAACTGGCGTTCCTAAACAAAGTGCCTTTGATCAATTGCAAGAATAATTAGTTGGTTGCGAATCGATTGGCGAATCTTGACGAACTGGTTCTAATAACAGCAGAAATTGAATAATTCATTAGGTCGAGTACGAGCAAATTCCCTTCTAAGCCTCAGTGCGGCGAAAGCAAGGGCTAGTTTCTAATTATATGTGTAAATAATTCTGCCTAGCTGTTAGGAGCGAGTATATTAATATCTATGTATCTGTACACAGTCGCAGAAGATTACAGGTAAATGCCGGACATAGCAAGCCAATACGAGTCCCAAAAAACAAACATATGGAAAGAAAAAAGTGCTGCGTTGTGGCGCATTAATAATTTTATTTCTACAATCTATCTTCATTTCTTTGCACACTCGTTACTCGAGGAAGCAACAAAAAACCCTGCATATATTTAAACTTTTTGCTTCCAGTACCGCTTCGAACAGCGAGTCGCGACCGCCGAAAGCTAAGAGAAGCCACGTCTGGGGCCGACCGGAGCTGAGCCAAGCCGGTGGGCTGAGCTTGCGAGTGCGCGATCCGCCGCTGGGAGGTTCAGTCGAGAAACGGAGCTTGCAAGCGACACTTGTGGCAAGCGGAGAGACCGTCGTAAGAAAAACGGAAAAAGCTACTCTTCGAAATCGGCGAAAAGCAGATAAAAAGCCCCAGCAAGTCACTAAAATTGCAACACCAAAAGCGCGCGTGCGCAACACAATAAGTTAGAAGATTTCGATTTATACGGTACGGCTAATGAGTATATATATGAGTAAATATAGTGTGTGTTAAGAAATCAAAACAATTCAGAATAAGCCTCCAACTGTAATGTGAGAGTCAACTAAACCTAAAATGAAACTTCGATCGCGAGTTGAGTTCGAATAACATTTTTGCTTCAGTTCCCTCTTTAAGCGTAAACTGTGGAATAAAAATTGAGGTTTTCCTTTGTGCTCTTAATACACCAAACAACGCCATCGAATGGGGAAAACCACTCACTTACATATCGAAAAGGAAAACGAAAGACTTAAGATACAAACTTGAGCGGTCCGCCTCGAAGCATGACCACATGTGTTTTTATCCAAGTGTCTGTGATTTCGTTGTGTGTGCATAAGAAGATCTCCGCCACGAGCCAAAAAAGATTGTGTTAATTTGTGACACCAAAAACTGCAGAAAACTGCTACCAATGGAACGAAACACGCAAGAGACAAAGGACAGCCAACATTAATATATTTCCGGCGTTCTGTTTGCCTTTTCCAAATAAAGGTTTGGCAATAAAATAAATATCAAGTGCTTGAAAAAGCTTGCTCAAAGTTGAGCGGAGCTCCACCGAGCTGAGCGTCGGTTAGGCAATGCAAAATATTGCAACATTTATTTATCTCTCAGTTCGAGTCCCAATGATTTCTGCTTGTTTTCGGTTTCAAGGGGCGCTAGAGCTAGAGCAGCACAAAGAAATTGATGTTAGCAGGTGAAGAGACTTAGCGCCGCGATTCCAGGTGTGCACCTACACCTAAGGAAGCCGCAAAGCCTGCAGCATTTACATAATTTAGCCCAGCTTGCCTCTGAGATGCAGTAATATCGAATGACAAATAACAATTTAAAGGTTTTAGGTGGAAAAGCACTGTGACACACAAATCGGCGATGACGAACCAAAAACACAACGACTAGGACAAACGTTTAATGACATAAACTCGCATGTGCATTCAATGGGAAAAGTTAAATTAGCAAAGCACATTGGGGCTAGACTCGTCTCTTTGATCATTCACCAAATGGCGAACTTATAGCGTATTTACATCTGTTTAAACTATAAATAAAATGATCAAGAATATGATTAGGTTTTTAAAAGAAAATAAGTAAGTGCGACCGGAATTACCGCGTAGCCTACAGTTTGGGAGCTCTTTCGAAAACTTAAATTTAGGCAACTAGAATATGTAACGTGAATGATATGAACACAGCGAGGCAAACTGAGGCAGACAGCTGTTGGGGATTTGTTGCTGCCGCAGTTACCGTTGCAGTTTGACCGAAATGATTGTTGGGGCATTATATAAGAAGTGGCCATGCCACAAAAACGACGAAAGAGAAAGAGGAAAATTGTGAAAAAGTCCGCGAGTGAGAAGGAAGCAGTTGGCAGGAGTTTGGGCAGACAGCTGGCCAGGGAGAGCGCAAGAGTGGCTGCTGTCGAAGCTGCAACATGTTGCACGAACTAAATACCCACTAGCACTGGAACAGGCGATCGAAGTGGGCTTGCTAGTTGCTGCTGATATGCTTGGCCTGCTAAATAAGCCGTTAAACTGCATCAAGGTAACAGCCGCCTTGTTGACCATTTAGCAACGTGTTTGTTAATAATTACTTACCTACTCCAAGCCATTGGCCATTGGGCATTGGCCATGCCCGTTCGTGGCTGTGTTCTGGGGGCTGGGAAAGCAATTTGGGGGACCGTCCCGCTTTTTCTAAGCGGCCCATGGCCGCCTCAGCTCAATTGCAAGCATTGCAAAACACTGGCAAATAAACGCGACTGCAGACGAGCGGCAGCAGCTACCAACGCCAGCAGAAGACATCAATGGATATAGCCACCGATTTTCGGAACCGCTCGCAATTGAGTTACAACGTCAGCAGCGGTCCGTTAACCAGTTGGCAACCTTGGCGCTCGTTGTTTTTGTCGCTTCTTGCCTTTTTTCGATAATTATTTCGGGTTTTTTTATTTCATTAGGGCAGGTGTGGGTTTTGAAAATCGATTGTGGTATCGATCGGAGCTCATTCGATTTGAGCATGGGAATTTTGCATTTAAATGAAGGCGCTTAAGTCGATTAATTGGGGTTATTAAGTATTTCGACTACGATAAAAGTGACGAAACGACACACGAGTATGTGTACAAACATTATCATTTGTTTTTAAAATGAGCCTAGTTAACCGTGCCCCTCTGGGTTAATGGTCTCTGTTTATGCTCAACCTGAACCGCAACCGCTCACGCTTGTCATCCCGACTCGAAAGATGGCCATAAAACAATAAAAATAAACGACATCAACCGAAATTGTTGTCCTTTGCATCATGATTTAAGTTAGGCAAAAGGCAGCAACCAGTTCGGAGCAAGGCATAAAGTTATGACCACGACTGTCAGTTACTAACCTTACTCAATTTATTTTTTGGGTAAGCATTTATGTTTCTTCTCTTTGGGCCACACTTTCGAGCGCTTTATGGGCGGCTTTTGTTTAGGTTTTTCAACTTTATTGTTGATTTTGTTGTTGATTATGTATATATACCTATAACATGCCGAGATAAATGCATGAGTAAGACAGTTACAAATGCAATGAAGTAAGTAGTTTATTTTTGGCATGAGACTAAACATGAGTTGGCAATCTAAGTGGGTCAAAGTCTGATTAGCGAGGTCACACGTATGGCGGGCATATCGTTTTAACGAATTTATAGTCGCACATCAAATGGGAAACATTTCAAAGCAACCAATAAAAACATCGAATCCAAATCCAATGATGCTTTAAAATATATTGTTCTTGAAAACTTTGGACCCACCTTTCGCCATAAAAATATACAGCAACTCGTCGTTCTCTCTAAATTAGCTTCGCTAATTTTTATGGAGGTCCAAAGTTTTCAATTCACTTTAAGAAAATACACAGGAAATCTAATGTAAAACCTTTTTAAAAATTTAAATACGCGGTGGTTAAATCTGCTTGACCCAACTTTCCTGTTAGTTGCCTCTAAATCTATATTACTCCTTCCTTTCCTGGGTGTAAAATGTACAAAGCTATGCATTTTTTCAGGTGTACAGAAATTGTCAGGCAAGTTCAAAGTTTAAGCCGGTCCAGACCTAAGCCTTAGAAATGTGAAAAAGTCAGCACTTAAAATAAATAGCAGAACCCACAAAATTTTAAACTAAGGCCGCCACAGATGTGGGAACAAAGGCGAGACGAAAGCATTTAGATACTTCCCGAGCGTGGGATTTCTAGAGCCCTTTTGTAGTTCTAAAACTCAATTGTTCATATAAGGGAATACAGAAAGATAATAAAGCAAGTAGAGCTTTGTTAAATATAATTATATTGCTTTGGAAGTTCTGGCTAGTACCTACAGTTTTTACGAGTTCTCATCTTAAAAGGTCGCAAAACAAATAACTTCAATTCGACACATTCACTCGTTCCTTGTATTTTACCCAGAACTACTGATACCTGTGACTGCTTAGATGTCATATTCTATTTGCGATTCTCCTCACATTTTAAGTTTTTGTCTCGACATGCACCTGACGGGCTCTTCCAATTCACAAGTCGATTTTACCAAGTGCTCATCCGCCCCTAAGCCCCTTTCCCGTGACACATTTTCTTTTCATATAAAATCCAGTTCGCAAGCTGTTTACCTATTCCGAATGCATTAATGCTGACGTTGATCTTTGGGTATATATAAAGAATAGTATGTAATTGAAATTCCAGACGCTTCTGCATCCCCTCATCAGAAGTTCCGCGTGTAGTGTGCCTCTTCAAGCTCTTGGGGTGAACCCTATCCTCTACAATAAAAGTAATGAGTCTTAAGTTCTCTCTTGTAAAGTTTGGGAAAGAAACGGACGACCAAAGAAAGTATATTCAGAGTTCTGGGTTAACAAAGAGTAAAAGTAAATACTGTACTTTGAAGACCCATTATCTCAAAATAATCTACTACAATTTAAACTTATCCCTCAGCTAGTTTTCATTACTTCACTGTATTTCTAAAAAATCCATCCTAAGTGATCGGTTGGGAAGGGTCAGTGAACTGCGATTCTTGGCTAAGTTAGAGCTTACAGGTTCTATTTCACGCTCCAGCCGCAAAGATGGCTAATTAGCAAGTGCTTGAAATACACTTAGAAGCCCGAAAATAATTTTGGACCGCACAAGTGCTTTGAGTGCTGCGACACGTGCAAGTCATAAAGCCAAGCAAATCAATAAAATACATAACCAAATCAGGAAAATGTGATTTGTTGACGCAAATGATTTATGAGACTGCGAGGAGCGGAGGCAGGAACATAGGAAGGGGCCCTGAACGAAATTGGTCTTTGAATTTATTGAGAGTTTAAGTACGTATTGCATAATTTTGTTCTGTAAGGCGAACTGTACTGAATATCTGGAAAACGTCCCCTACATATTAGAAAATCTACTTAAGCAGGAACTTTCAACGACTCTTTGACAGGTCAGAAGACAAGGCACTATGGCGGCCGTTGAAGTGAGAAATGGCTATAAGTACTATGGATCCAAATCGAATCCCAAGATTGTGCTCAACCAGCTGAATATGAACGTGATGCGCGGTTCCATGTGAGTGGCATTCAAGATTTCAGGCGAAAGCCAGGCTAAGCTAGTTTATCCCTTCGGTCAGATACGGATTGCTGGGAGCCTCCGGCTGCGGAAAGACAACACTGCTCTCCTGCATCGTCGGCCAGAGGCGGCTCAATGGGGGCGAGGTCTCAGTACTTGGGGCGAAACCTGGCGAACCGGGCAGTGGCGTGCCGGGATCCCGCGTGGGATTCATGCCCCAGGAGATCGCCCTGGTCGAGGAGATGACCGTGAAGGAAACGATCTTTTACTTCGGGCGCATCTACGGCCTGACGGACGAGCGCATCCGCGAGAAGTTCAAGCTGCTCAAGGAACTGCTACAACTGCCGCCGGCTAGGCAGATGATCAAGCAGTGCAGCGGAGGACAGCAGCGACGTCTGTCCTTTGCCTGCGCCATGATACACGATCCGGAGCTCCTCATCCTGGACGAGCCCACAGTGGGATTGGATCCCATGCTGCGCGAAAAGTGTGTGAGAAGAACCCGTTGGATAGCTCTCAGTTTAACTTTATTTAAAACCTTTTAGAATCTGGGACTTTCTCGTGGAGACCACGAGGAATAGCAAACTGGCTGTGATCATTACTACCCATTACATAGAGGAAGCTAAGCAAGCGAATTGCGTAAGTAAACATGGGTAATGACGAACTTTGTAGATAACTGCAAATACGCCTAAGATACATATAGCCTGTTGATGGTAATGCGAAAGAACGTATTTATGGACACCACGAACGTTACTTCCAGATTGGTCTTATGCGCAACGGCGTTCTATTGGCCGAGGACACCCCCAACAACATCATGATCAAGTTTGGAACTCAGTCGATCGAGGACGCCTTCCTCATTTTGAGCCAGCGACAAGGCAACGAAGACGACTTGGCCCAAATCATGGATCACAGCAAGAATCAGGCCTTGCCAACAGCTGTGCTGCCTCCTGAGGTTATAGACACTCATGAGCCGAACACGCAGGAGAAACAGCCGATCCCGTTCGAGGAGCCTCTGAACGAGAACCGCAAGAAGGTCTTCTTCACCACCAAGGGCAGGGTTAAGGCCTTGATGACAAAGAATTTTGTTCAACTCTTCAGGCAGCCTTCGTAAGTTGACTCGTTTATTTTGCATGGCATTGTCCACCTACCATGACATTAATTTCAGAGGAATCATCTTCATGCTGCTGTTTCCCATTATACAACTGACTTGCTTCTATCTGGCCATCGGAAAAACGCCCACGAATCTGGAGATAGGAGTTTACTCCGGAGAAGTGGAGAGCTACGGGGAATGCTTCAACGATAGCCTGGTCACGGTGTACAAGGACAACGACAGCTGTCAGTTTAACAAGCTCTCCTGCAGATACATCCGCGAGTTGGGCGACGACGTGGCCACGCGGAAGTACTACTCCAGTGAAGCAGATGCCCTGAGCGATGCAAAGCGCGCCACCACCGTTGGGTACTTATATTTTGCCCAGAACTTTAGCGACTCGATCCTCTCGGTGATGGAGGACGGAATCCATACCAGTGACGGAGCCGTGGACCACGCAGAGCTTAGTATCCACATCGACATGACAGGTAAGAGCGGGCCGGGCGAAACCTTTTAAATCTATGAAGCTCTTCTGCAGATCAACAAGTGGCGTACTTCATGCAGCGAAAGCTCCGTGACAAGTTCAGCTCCTTCATGCGGAGTGTGGTGAAGGACTGCAATGTATCCTCAGCCATTGTCGATCTCCCCGTGCAGTTCCAGGACCCGATCTTCGGCAGCACAGACATCGAGTTCCAGCAGTACTGTGCCCCGGGTGTGGTCATGACGTAAGTAGAGAGTCCACCTGGTGAACCTACGACCCCTCTTATATTTTATATTCTTTATTTTATGAGCTGATGAAATTCACCGCAATCCATTATTCGGTACTTCGTTGGGAGTAATTCAGATCTTTGCTTAATCAACATTTCCTAAACCTCCACTTTTCTATTCTCACCGCTCCTCACAGCCCTGTTTCGGATTTGCATTTACTAATTTTTTGAATTGTATCCCAGCATGGTGTTCTTCCTGGCCACATTGATGACGGCTGCCGTGTTCATTTCGGAGCGAATGGATGGCATTTGGGACCGAACTCTCTTGGCAGGCGTCTCGGCCACCGAAATGCTATGGGCCCACCTGTTAACCCAGCTCATCATCATGACCCTGCAGTCGTTCGAGGTTATCATGTACATAGGTCTGGTTTTCGATACCTACAACAATGGGGATACCACAACACTCATTGGGCTGTTGACGCTGACCGCATTTTGTGGCATGTTGTTTGGTAGGTTAAGATGGAAGATGGCCCCAGCAGTACTGTTTCTTAAACCTGACATATTTCCACCCACCAGGACTCTTCATATCCGTCTTCTGCAAATCGCATACGGAGGCAAACTTTGTGGCTACTGGCGCCTTTTATCCCATGATTATACTTTGCGGTAAGACTAAATCATAATGGAGTACGCAGGAAATAGCTCAATCTCGACTTTGCAGGACTTCTGTGGCCGCTGGAGAGCATGCCGCAGTTCCTACAGGATCTGGTGATGGTGCTACCTTTCACCATACCCTCCATTTCGGCGCGAAACGTCATCGAGAAGGGCTGGGGCATCACCCACGAAAAGGTCTACAATGGTTTCTTGGTCATGGCCGGCTGGACGATCATCTTCTTCGTGCTCTGCCTGATCGGCATCAGACGCAAGGCGTAAAGTCAGATCCTGGGCTAAACTTTAATATTTGGGGGCCTTCATTTAGTTGTAGTTTATTAGCATTTTTGATAGGTCATCTATGTGCTTGTCGTTTTAATTTAATAACTTTCGGAAGCATATCACTCGCATGTTGCAGACTCTCATCAGACACGGAAACACATTTATACCAACGAATAGTAACACATTCTGGGCGGTCATCAGCGCGCGTGCTGGACTGTACCTAATTCATCATACGGTCTTAAGGGTGTCTCACAGAACTATTTATAATACACAGGAAACCACAGTACTCATTGACAATGTTAAATTTCGTATTCCGTTTATATCTGTATAAAATGTGGAAACATGTAAATCGAAATTTAAAATCAACCAAAAATAAAAACCTAAATTAAATGTTCTTCAAGGCGACTGATTTATGGGTAAACTATACCAATATTTCAGATACAGACTCCAGCACTGGAATAACTTTCTAAATAACTCACAATTATATTCCTTATAATTAGATTAGGACCTTCTATACATCATTGCAACCTTTAATCCTTAACAAACACATCTTGTGGACTTGGAAGCATCGTAAAACTAAAGCACACTGCTCCTATGCACGCTTATGCAGAAATATATATAAATGCATGTGTTTGCTTTTATATATAATATTGCCTGCTTGTGTGTAGGCCAAGGACAAGGACATTCACGACGACGATGTCGAGGACGTGCCAAAGTTGCTGACACACTTCGGGCTCGAAAGTGCTAGACAGCATGTCTGCCGGCCGGATGACTCCTCCTGACCCCCTTCTCGGCGTCTGCCAGCAGACATTTTTATTACAAAACTTTATCTTTGCCAAATACGAGAACGAAGAGATGGAAAAAATATAAAAAGCCAACGTTGTCCGTCCTGCTCTCCCCTGGGACCTTGCCGGTGTGTATGTTGTGGGTGACTCGACAGGAGGGTGGAATGGAATTAGTTTGCCAGGCTACATGGTCTGCATTAAATGTGCAAGCTGCAAGACTTGGTCGTGTATGCGTAAAATTCGAGAGAGAACTTGTTGCCTAGCTGGAAGAAAAGTGAATTTGTAGAATAACAATATAAATACGTTTGTGCACGCCGTCGTAGTCTTGGCCGTCCTCCACTAACATATCACCGGAGTACATAAAGAGTGAATAAAAAGTACATAAGCTCCGCTTCTCTCCTGGTCCGGAAAGAGTGACAAAATGTATAAATAGTTTAGTTAATTTTATCTTACGAAAGAAGATAGTCGTTTTCAAAGGCTGTGATTGTTCGCCTTTTTAGAAGGTAGGCATAACTAATCAAAGTGAAGTTAATCTGAATGCTAAATTAAAAACTTATCTATTCTTCATCCTTCTCACAAGAACTATATTAAACTTTCTGGTGAAATTTCCGTCTGAAAACAGAAGCTTTTTTATGGGGATAACCGACAAGCTGCAACATCAACAGCGACTGCACCAAAGACCAGTAAAAAAAACTTTTTTGACAACAAACAACGCTGCTGAGTAGGTCAAGGTACCCGAAAGTATGCAATCAAAAAGTTTTCTCGAGCGTTGACTGCAAAAACAATTTGGGCTGAAAGTGGTTTAAACTTTGAAGAAAAGTACAAAAACCCAAACATCACGCCCAACAATACTAAATTAACACTATCTGAAGACTAGTTGAAATGCTGTTAGAAGTTTTGACCCATTTCATGTACATACATTTAACATTTCCGGCCTTAAAATTTCCATGGAGGAGGGGGAATCGAAAAGTTTGCAAAATTCTCTAGTAATTTGACCTTCAAACAAGTTTAACCAACTCAGCACACACACTTACACTTTTACGCTCGCCGAGAGTCAGCCAGAGACAACAAACAATTGCAATATGAGGGAAGGGTAAATATTTAAAAGTCGTTTTGTTTGGAACAAAGCAATATTAAAGCCATTTCCTTGCAGTGAACTTGTAGGCAGGTGCACATGTTATTTCATATCTTTTACGAAAATATAACCTTTTGTGTACTAAAGGAGTACTAATTGTTCAGTGAATACGATATCGAGGAATCTTACATAGCTAGGTGTAAAATTGACTGAGATTTCTAATCGTTTTCTAACTAAATGATATTTAAAATCAACAGAGGAAGTCGAAATGTGGTGTACTAACTCTCCAAGGCTATGCGGCAAACAGCTTAAACAGTGTCCGCAAAACTGTAAATAACTTTTTCACATCAAATGAGGGGCAATATTTCTTGAAAATAAAAGCATCTGGCATTCAAAATGAAAGATGACACAATTGAGCTCGGAGGGCAAAACAGTTCGTTGGGTCCTACAGTTGAAAGGGACCCCAAATCATTGCCGACTTTTGCATTTCATTGACCCTTTAAATGGCTAAGATACACACAGATGCCCGCCTGCACAGCGCTCTGCATGTCAGTCAAAGTTCTTTCTCTCGGCAAAATGGAGAAAAATTTGATTTGGGGAGTTTATTCAATTTGCTGTATGTGGGGCCGCCCAAAGGGGGCAGCCCATGGATACACACTCACTCGCACACTGCCATTTAAGTGCACGCCGTTCAACTGATGTCTGACGGACAACCGGAGTTATGGCCAGTGGGTGGCTGGAAATGGGTGATTCAGGTGGAAGGGGGCCAGAGGAGGACGCTCCTAACTCTGCCAATATAATACAATCAACGTTGGGCTTCGATTCGATGCGCATTCGATGCGTTTGCCGCTTTCAAAGCAGTTGAGGTGGCTACCAGTCCAGCTACCGATGCGTAGGCTCACCCATCCACACGTGCCACCTACCACCAGCAACCTTTCACTTCCTCCTGCCACCCTCCACCGACATGACCACCCCCACAAATGCACACAGACAAGCTTGGTTTTCGCTCTCATGTGCAGAGGAAGCCTTTGTACATAGGCTCGTTTCATTCACTCGGCAAGCATTCTGTTCGATTTTTACTCTCGTTCTCCCTCGCTCCCTATGTAGTCCCGTGCTCTGAGTTCCTTGTCCTGTACTCCGCCGAGTGAAGGAGAGCACGAGGAGGCAGCTGGCGTCCTGGCCACACATGCGTTTGGCCTTTTGCCTGGCACACATAGCAACAGCAGCAGCAACTACATCAGGTTGCAGCAGCAGCAGCAGCAGCAACAGCAACAGAAATGTCGCGTTGTGTTTCAATCGTTTTATATGGCGCAGCTGCTGATTGGGCTGGCACAGTGGAGTCGGTAAATGCATTTCCTTACCTGTTGACAAATTTAAAACAGGTGTATGTAGTAAAGACACAACTATTAGTTACATTTGCATTTTCTTATAAACATTGTAATAGGTAAAATATTTATAACCGGTTACTTTTTCGTATTTATATTATATTAATGTAAATAACCTATGGGATAGGTATACAGAAATAGTTTTAGTAGCGCCACCTGTTGTTGGAACCGAATATGGCATGACTCTTATAAGACGGTGACCACTTAAATTGATAGATTTTGAAGCTTTTAGGGAACATGTAAGATGGAAAGCGGAAAAACTTCTCTCAACATTAAAGGTTCGTCCTGATTAGCATTCTCTTCGGTCGTTGCTTAGGTCTATGAGTTTGACCTTGACTGCCTTCAAGTAAAATAATCATTGTACGATTTAATTAAAATCTAAAAAAAATAAAACTTGCCGTTTTCATTTAACTCACTACACAAACTATGGAAGTTATTTCGGTTTTAAGTTCTAAAGCTTACTGCTTAAAAACATGGATATTGCACCAAGGTGACCATTTAGTGGGCCATCGCACATCAGTACAGCCACACTAAAAACTCCAGAGAGCAATACCTGACCGATTGGCTTTTGTCCCACTGTGCACAATGGGCAGTGCTCGAAAAACGCCAGCCAATGCAGAATACAGAAAAAACAACAACGACAACAGCTGCAATACATGCGTGGGGAAAAGGCGCGAGAGGGGAGGCTTTTGAAGGTAGGTGGGAAATTCTGGGGTGGCGTGCGGGTGCGAATGGAAACGTGGACGGCGGCGCTGGCGAAAATGGCGGCAGCGACAGCGACAGCGACGCAGCCTATTTCGGTGGCCAGATATAAAAAAGGGGCGTGGAGAGGACGGGGACGGGGACAGGTCGGTGATTGGGAGTTAAGGGGATAGCTGAGGGACAACATCCAATTCACCAGAGAGCGAGAAAGAGAGACGTCGAATGGATGGGATGGCCCACTCTCATCAGGAGGCCAGCACACACACACAGGCACACTGATATGCAGTTGGGAAACCGGGGGGAAGGCGAGGACCTGCACACAACTGCACTGGGGACTATGTACGATCCGGATGTCATGTATGTATCGCCATTGACCAGACCAGGACATCCCCCTCTCGCTCTCCGGTCCCATCTCTCTCTGGCCTGCTCGCTTGCTTACCAATTTATTTTGCGCACAATACGAAACACAGAAAATGCATGAGGCCACCGGCAGCCACCCATCCCCACCCATAATACACAGCCCACCACCCCAAAAAAAAAACGATGCGTTCCAAACGAACGCAGTGATAGCCACACAGCAGAGCAGGCCAAAAGCAACAAGGGGCTGGCTGAAAAAATTGCAGAAATTCCAGTTCGATTTTTGGCCATAATGCAAAGAGCATGCTGGCCCGTTCCCTCCCGCACTGCACATAGATACATCTATGTATTTGCCTCTCAGTCGCTCCTACATTCAATGTTTGTTGTTGTTTCCGTTTGCCACTTTGTGCGGGATTTCTGTTTTTCCCAGTTTCCCTTCCCGGCTTTTCCTAGCTTTTTTAGACTTTCCTCATTTTTTCCGGGGTTCTGTTTGCTTTTATATCCTTTGCAGGCCGCGACTTCCACTTTGATAGAACAAGCGCCGAGTTTTATTTTGTCCCTCCTTCTTTGTTGCCCCTGACTTTTGGCGAAAAAAGGGGGCGATGGTAGTACACACTCGTAGTGAGTTTTTGTGCTCCATGTCCTTCGTAGTAGTCAGCACTCGTAGTCCGAAGTCAGTCATCAGTCCATACGCAACTTGTCCATATATAAAAACTCGCCATAAAAATGCAAAGAAATGGAACGAACGTAGTATGAAAGGAACGGCAAGGAAAAATTGAAGGAAAATGGGGCACAAAGGATTCGAATGCTCCGAAAAAAGTCGATGGGAAAAGAAAGCTTAGAATGCCAGAGACACAAATTTCGCAGGCAAATTCTTCCCTTTTTTCGCTTACTTCACACTATGGAAATTCAGTATCTCGTAGGAGTTTTGAAACAAATTTGACCAAGGACGGCTCTAGTCATACAACTTAGACCTTTCAGGGCGTCTTACTCCTGCGATTACATCGTTCCATAGGTACAACTCCATCTCACACCGGTTTTATAATGGATCTGACATCCCCAGTTAGTTGTTTTTCATAAAAGAGAATCTAAGAAAGAAATAAAAAGGTACATACCTAAAGAAGGTTTCTTTTGGAATACAAAAAATATAATAAGATCTCGAAAGTTGCCGACAGTTTGTATTCTTCCCAAACAGGCTCATACAGAATTTTTGTACTGCTAATAACAACAAGAAAAGAAACCAGAAAGGTGTATTTGTGGGCGTTTATCATTTTCAACTCGATAGCTAACAATCTAATTAATGCTGAGTCCACAAACAAAGAAAGGAAAATTTTAAAGTTCGAATCAGTTTTGGAATGAACTTACTTGTCAAATCTTTTATCAATAGAAAAATAAGTATTTTTCAATACATTTGTTGGTCTTTCAATTAGAAAACCCCGCCAAAGGCATGCAAAAATTTCGACTTAACGTAATATTACCCTAAAGCAAAGAATTTCTTTCAGAGACCGTGGATCGTAATCTAAAACGGATTTCACGGTCGACTAGAAGCAACGAAGTCAAACTGACATACTGGAATCGCAAGACTGTGTATTATTGAATCGTATTGCGAGACAATATTTTAACGAGCACTTTATCCAAAAATTACCAAGAAACGCAAAAGCACGGCCACGTATCTCCCATGTGGACCGCACTTGAGGCTTCCGTGTTCCTAGTCCTGGCAAATGCGCCATCTTCACTCGCCAGACCAGAAAATGATTTCTCCGATCATCTGGCAACATATCTGCGTCCTGGGGAGCCGCATTTCCAGAATGGCGAGACTCTGTTCAACATGCTGTACATACACAACAAAGTGCAGGTGTTCTGTCAGCGACCCACAATGCCCACCTTATTGAATGTCTTTCAGAGCCGCCGCCTGAGCTTGCAGATAGCCACTGACAAGGATTACAGTCAGTACAAAGGAAGCACCGTGCGGGAAGTCTTCCAGGCACACCAGCAGCTGAATGAATGCTACGAAGGAAAACCGCTGGGATCTCAAGCAGAAGAGACCCGGATTATTCCGATGGCTGCCCATATCCACGCCTGTTACGGTATTTACACCATCTCCTCGTTCACCATCACGCTTGAAGTTATCTGCTGCGACCCTGAGCGTGTGGCGCAGTTTACCTTCGGTCTCGTTTTGTGGCTAAGTTGTCCTCATTTGGCAGATTCTCTGCTGGGCTTCTACTGCTCGGCTGCGGCCTTAGGGGCCCATCTAGCGGGCGTGGCCGTGGTCGGAGTCGCTCTACTTGCAACGAGCGGCGGTCAACCTCTTCGAATAGTAACGCTTAAGGGAAACTTCAAACAGGTGCTCCAGGAACGGCCTACTGTGATGACCTTAGCGCTGTTGGGTGGTGCCTGGTTACTACAGTCCACCTGCCAGCGTTATAGCTTTCTGTGGCGGCGCTATTTCATCCGCCGCGTGCACCATCGCTTGCTAAGAATCATCTCGTACTGGCTGATCTTCACTGCCTCCGAATACAAAAGCTTTGGATGGAGCTGTCTTTTTCTGCTGATCACTTGGCCTGAACTTTGGTGCCTGATGCGCTGGCTGAGTTCCCAATACCAAACCTACAAGCTGCGCTTCATGGCCCCACAGACACAGGCGGGATTTGAAACGCAGCGCGTTCTGAGGGCTTTTCGTCTTATTTCGCAAAAGTATCTGCCTATGAGGGCACCTATCGTGACTATGAGGGCACATAATGCTGATAGTCACGATCTCCTTTCATCTGAAAGAAATGTGAGCATGTATATTCGACAGGAGGGAAGAGAACGACGGGGCGAAAATGATGGGAACGCCTTTGATTATGAGTACCGTCGACCCTGGAACTGCCTGAACAGGCGCCTTCGACGGCCGCATAATAATTGAAGTTCGGAGACCACATTTGCAGTGGTCCAACTCCATGATCAAGCGATAAAGAAGAACTTAAACAGTTGGGGTCGACTTCAGCACGAGGGAAGGGGATCTGTCACGGAGCGGGTCAAAGGGGAAAACTTGGAACCGAAGCAATCGAATCGAAAACGAAGGGAGGCCAAACTAGAATTTCCCATTTGCAAGGATAAGTTGCTTTTGCAGAGGAGGTGGTGGTTGGGATTGGCAGACATAGTGTCCTAGTCGCAGCAGGAAAATGTGTGAACAGAGGCTGGTAACAAGCTTCAAAAGAATTCTCTGCTTTTAAGTGAACTGACCGGGCAAACCTACAAGAAGACTCTTCAATTAACAGCACTTAAAGAGAAGAATATTATTGTCTACATTTATATGATTTGTTTTATCTTCGTTGGTTTTGTAAATATTCTTGCTTAATAATTTTCTAAGATACATTTTGGATTGAGAACCTTTTTAACTAAGGATACCTAATCTAATTATTAGAGTCTAATACTTAGATTAGATTTATGTTTCTGAGGTTATTTAAAAAACGCGAATGAAATGTTGCGCGCTCTATATATTTCTAGCAAAGGCTTATCATTAAAATAAAACAATATTAACCGCCACAGAAAACAATCAGCGGGTTAGCAACTATGTGAGGGAGTCAAAGTCAATTAATATATTTGGGTCTAAAAATTCTTGTCATTGTAAAGGGACCTCTTGAGCATAACCACATGGAATACGTTTAGTCAAATGGTGCATGGAGAACGAAAATGTAATGGGTGGCTTTAATGAAATCCAGAAAACTGTCCTCTCGAGTATACTACATAATTTGTAGTAGGTCAAATAAGACGAATCTCATATTTCCCCATTTCCTAGCAGGGAACCTATCAAAATAGTAATTCCCATTTGAATCATTCGCTGAACTTAAGCTTAAACCCCCACACCGGCCATCCGAGCAGATGCATCCATACTGCTTTTAACTTAATTGTCCTGATTAGCATGCGTCCGTGTCTGTTATCCTCGTTGAAATTTTTGTGCTTTTGACATTCGTTGGCGCACGGAGTTACAAAATAAGAGACTGGAATGCATGTGGAACGGGGGAAGGGTAGGGTCGGTTGGGGCACAAATGTGCCTATTACCTCCTCCCCACCAGTTTACCATTAGCCACAGGACCGGAGAGGCTGCTGATGCAGCTGCAGCAACTGGACCAACAACAAAGTTTGGTCAAACGTCAGAAATGTTCGTTCGCTTTGGCTATTGAACGCATTGCAAAACGCAGGAGTCGCCCACTATCCACATCCCACCCCATTCAAGAACCAAGGACCTACTCCTCGGCTCGGGCATCGGCAAATGCAAATGGGTAAAAAGCGCTTTGACGACCATGTGGAGGGAGGCGGTTGAGGTGGTGCTGCAGGGGAGTGGCGGAGGAGGGGGACGATGAGTGGGCGGAGGACGAGGGTGGACAGTTGGCCGGGGCAGGCGCAAAACGCATTTCAAATCGATAAGTGGAACTTCACTCATTTGGCGCGGGGAAATGGCGGCAGGTGACTAACCAGGACTTGCCGTCTCTCACATAGGCCTGATTACAGGGTATCTAGAAGAGAGTCTGGGACCTGCCAGCGTAATGGTCGTCTTTCTGTTTATATTGTGTAGTTCTCTCCTCCGCTTAGAGGGGGTACTCTATTAGAGCTTATATTTTAATTCCAACTTTAATCAGAATTAAATTTAGGCAACTAACTAAGTAAAGGATAAAAAGTTTTGCTACGGCAATTAAAGGGTGTCAGCAAATAGCAATCGATCTCGTTTATGTTTCATTTTTAGATCTGTTGCCCGGATGGGTGGAAAATTGACTAAATGCGCCGCTTTTCGTGCATTATGTTATTGGGCGACCCGTACAGGAGGTCCAGTCCGTCTGTCGTTTTCGAAACAACCATCGGGCCACCATTTCTAATGGACACATTTCCCTATAACTCTCGAATCTTTCCTGTTTTCTATACTACTTTTTTTTGAAACCTTCGGATTTTGGTGGTTGGTTTGCGCTAGAGAAAGTGCAGCCGGGGGTGAAGTGGGGTTGTGCTGGATTTTTGGGTGGTTTGTACTGGGTGGTGAGGCGCGAATTGACTCCAGAGGGTCGCTAAAAAGTGCATTCTCAGTACTGGTGTCCCGTTCTGGGACAATGGGGGTTGTGCACGATGACGTCAAAAGGTCAGTGACAGGGTGGAATATCAAAAACTAAATAGCCTGAAAAGTTTTTTCTTCGAAAAACCAGACGTGGTTTGATATGGATTTAGATTTGGTGGATTTAGATTAAGTGGAATTAACTAAATATACTATATTTATTTCAAGATTCGAGTTTTTAATAATGTTGAGTTGAGTGAAATGTTTAGTTCTTTACAGTTAATAAATTTAAAATATTTGCCAAACAGGCAAATGTCGTTAAGTAAAATGCCAAATGAATCTCTTTGAATAAATTACCCTGCACATATATGTACATAGGCTGTACTCTCTTTAATACCCAGTTATTAAATGAGCATATAAAGCATACAGATTGTAAGACATTTGAGAATATCTATTTTCAAGACCTTGGAGACACGTGTTTATAAGTCTTATAGGTTGAAGCTGTTTAGGTAATTAGGTAATGTTTAGGACCTTGTGGCAAATTGGAGTTTTACTGACCTGCACCATTTTGATGTCCTTGAGTGGGTGACCCTTCGATAATGAGTCTTAATCCAACGTTAATTTAATTGCCGGTTCCTCGATCGCGGAACGACGGCAAGTTCGGGGAGGTGCCGTTAGAGCGAGATGCCAGCAAAACAAAACGAAGGCAAGCGGCTACAACAACTGAACTTAAAGACGCACGTGGTGGCCTCACTTTTGTTTTAGTTGCGCTTTAATTGCACTGCTTGCGGCATGCATTGGAATCGGAGAACACGCACGCACTACTGCATTCGCGGATAGTGTGGGAGGAGAGCAACGGAAAGAGCGGGAGAAGCGAAACAAAAGACACGCGGTTTGAGTTCGTAATGCTGTTATCGCGAAATTAAATGTTTTAATTTATTTTATTGCGGTTTTATACTGCACTGTGTGAGTTTCAGTTTACGCCTGCCATTTGGCTAAGTATTTGTTTTTCGTCCGCCGTGCGCCAGACGAACTGAACTCGATCCCAGCCAGTTTCCTATTTCCCGTTTTTCCCGTTTTCCCCGACGTTTGCAGTCAGCTGGCCGCAGTTTGCTAGAGCTGGACCAGTAGTCGATAACTGTTCGATATTTCTTTTTGTTGCGCTGTAGTCACAGTTTTGTAACGAAGAGTTCCGATAATAGTTTAAGATCTTAATTAGTTAGAAATATAAATTAAGTATTTGATTAACTTGATAACTAATTTAAATGAACTTTATGTGGGAATTATTTAAAAAATACGAACTAAATAATAAATACCGAAAGCAAATGAACAGTACACCCTATACTCGAACCATATTATCTAGTGCTAAAACCCAAGTGGGATTCAGACTCAAGCCGTTTTTAAATTTCATTAACTGGAAACATAGAATGAGGAATTCTAACGCAAGTAAATTCGATTAAAAATCTATCTAAATGCATTCAAAGTTATGTTTTTTTTATCAGATCTAATTGTAAACTATTAGGACAGTTATAAAAAAACTTTATCTAGCAAATGCAGAAGAACAATAGGACCTTCTTAAGGGCTATCTATCTGTCAGCAAGCAATGAATCATGTGAAATAAATAAGATCTTAGTGTCCTCATAAGGTAAAACGTCGGAGTACAGAATCCATTCGAAATTTTTAATAATTTTGCATGCTTATCGAGCATTCTTCGGTAAATTTAAAAGAACTTTCTAATGGTTTTAATCAAGACGCACTTTAACACATTATTTACAAATTAATTTTCCCATTTCTTTATTCAGAGTATTCCAGTTTGAGAGCGTTCCAGCAGATGATTCAATGCCACCGGCTGCCAGTTGCTAAAGCTTCCATCGCTGATCATGCAGACGTGTCGATCGATGTAGCAAAAGAGCTTTCCTACGCGATAGATCTGAAAATCAAGGAAAATTGATCAGCAAATAAATATATTTTCTTCTCAATGAGCACATCTTAGTCACCTGTTTGCCCATCTCCCGTCTCCCAGGAAGAGGAGCGAAGATGATGCCCAAGTCGGCGCATTGCTGCGCCACAAGTTCTTTGAACTCCAGCTGTACGGGCGTATGAATCAGATCCATCATCATTACAGGAGCAGGAGGAACCGGCGGCGGGGGTGTAGGTGCTACTGTGGGCTGGAGCAGCGCGTCGCTGGCTCTATGCATCATTTCCAGAGCCCGACGCAAATGCTCCTTGACGCTTGGCTCTCGCAAAACAGCTTCACTCAACATGCTCTTCCACCCAGTGTACCACCGCGATATCTCTGTGTAGTCGGGAGACTGATTCAACCAGACTACGAGCACCTGCATCCAGCGCGGGAAGAAGTGCCTGTCAAGAAGCTGCGCCATGTACATTGCTTCGATGAGCTCGTGCCACTCCCACACCTGGTGCCACAGCTCTAGATCCTGATGTAGTGGGTTTATAACGAATTCACTCAATGTCGCCTGAAGTTTCGGCACGATGTGCCGCTGTAAGAACTCTTGCATCTCTTCCTCAGGGAATGCTTGCTGCCAGGGCGTAAGCATGGCCCTGGCTGATCTATCCTGCGGCGACCAGGCTCGCAGCGCCAATCCTAGTTTGTGGCGGATCTGCGGGTAGACGGCCTCCTCGAGTTTACTCCCTAGTATGGGGTGCCATGGTAGCACCCAGCTGTCTATGGGAACGGTGTCGGTGAGGGGATCCCACTCCTGAACACCGGCCACCAACCGGGGCAGCACCAACTGCTCTAGCACCGAGTCCAGAACCCAACTGGGTAGCACGGGAGCCCAGCTGTCGAGAAGTGCAGCCATTGGCGAATGCTCCTTGGGCTGCCAGGCTGCGGCGCTTGCACGAAACGACGGCATCACCCCTGCCCAGATGAGCGAGGAGTACGGATCAAAGACGTTGCGAGGCTGCTGTTCCGCCGGCTCCCCTTGCTGCAGCATGGCACGCCAAATCTTGACCAGCGGCAATGGCTCCGTTGGCCTTTCTAGTGGCTTCCACTGGACTAGCTCCCTCTTCATAAGTGGGGCAATCACGCCCGCTGCAAGGTCGGCCAGACCAAACTCCTGGAACTCGGCAGCGTAGTCCTCTAGAAGCTCCCGAAAGAGTCGTTCCGCCTGGTTTAAGCTCAAGTCCGGATTCTCGCTTAGACGCTCGACTCGGTCCAGAGATTCCTCCAGTGTGCGAATGTGGTTCCGTTCAAGTTGCACGATCTCCTCCAGCTTGCGGTGCTCGCTTTCAAGCGCTGCCTGCTGGCTGGAGCACTCACGCTCCTGGTTGTCGATGGCGATGATTTGTTGCTCGCACTGGCTCACTAAGAGCTGGAGGTTGTGGGTTAGTTCAGGCATGGCGAACACGCAGACGGGAGCCGGTCCCTTTTCGGCAGATTCTGTATCGTAGAGAGTTTCCTCCGGCGTAATTTTCGCCTGACCTAGGGCATGATAGCCACTCAGAACACGCTTTTCAGGGCCCGTCATGTCGATCACGGGGACATTGCCTAGTTTTTTGCTCAGCTTTTCAGATAGCAGGTGACTCGACGTATGACCCTTGGCGATCACCTCCTCCACGGACTTGTAGTAGTAGCGCTTTCCATGCCTCTCCACAGAATCGGCTCCTGCAGCTGCACCCTTGCGCCACTTGTTCATCTGTTCTTTGAATTCCTTTGCCTCACGCACATCCTCATCCACATTGATGCTTTTGGTAGCCTTTCCGCCGATGCTGGCTGCAGTTTCAGGTCCGTAAGCACCGATGGCGCCTCTGCCCTTGCGCACATGGGCCTGAACTGGTTGCGAGATGCCTTGCAGGTCTTTGCCCAACCCCTTGCCCGGTTCATAGCCCATCTGGAGAAGTAGCTTAGCTCCGATGCCGCGCGTATGCTGTTCCCAAGCGCCCACGTTCCGTTCACTGGAGATGTGCGAGCGGTGCTGAAAGTTGGTGTTTGCCTGTTTTCGGCCCATTGAGGGCCTTTCCTCCTCCGCAGAGCTATTAGAGCTGTCCGGGTCGCTCCGGCCGAAGGCCGCCCGTCCACTTGTAGCAGAGTCGTCGCTCTGCTCCCCCTGCCCCTCGTCTGCACCCTCATTCTGCGGACCTTCCTCGCCTCCTGTCTTAAGGGTCTTCTTTTTCTTTTTTCCGGCCTGTTGAATACCGCCAGCCACAAAATTGACGGGCATGGTGTAGTCTTTGGGCTTCCGGGCAGACCGCCCCCTCCGGGTGCTGCCGCCCTCGCCACCGCTCTCCTCGCTGTCGTCCGCCCATATACCTGCAGTAGTTAATTACTTAAGAAACTCGGACAAGAAGCTAGAACTTCACTGCTCACCGTAGATCTGCTGGTGCCGGCTCTGGCGCCCACGGGGCCGGTTAATGTTGAACTCATTGTCGAGATCGTAATCCGTTACTTCAAAGCGTTCGTACTCGTTGTCGGACATCTTCAATTGCGCAATTATAATTCAGTTAATGATAATAGAACTCACATCGGCACTCTTTATTACTTATTTGTTAATGATCATGAATAAGTTTTTGTTTTGTTTACGGATAGTGTGACCGTGTAGAGAACACTGAAAAAGCCACACAACCTGATAATAAATACCAGTGTATAACAATCAGTATAACAAATCAGTTTTTAAAACTCTGGTGAAAAAATATATACACGAATCATAATAAACTTATGTTTATTCTAAAAGGTTGGCTTCTATACTTAATTAAATTTAAATTTAAATTAATCTGATATTTAATGTCGTTGTATAACCGTTTACGAGTCTGTGTGTAGATACAGTCGATACAAGTTATCGATTACGAGGAGAGCGGCAAAATTACGGTTTTTCAAATGTGGAATCTTTATCCTTAAATATAAATAAATCGCGCATTTGGAAGCCTTAAAGGAATGCAGCGCGGTTAATAAAACGGAAAGGATTTGGATTTTTAAACTTACTATGTTTAAATTATTTTTTAATAATTTAATTAATGTTGATTATTTATTTTACTTCAAATGCTCATTTTTTTCAACACCTAAACAACTTATTAAGACCCTTACGTAAAAAGGCTTACATTTTAGTGACATTATGGCTGCTTATATTTCTATAAATATTACAGATGGCTTTTTCTTGACGTTAGAATTTTTACTTTGCATCTGGTTAACAGAGTGGAGCTTACCTCGTATAGTTCCAGAGATCTCATAGACGGTCGGAATGATATGGGTAAATCGACCGAGTTACTGATCCGGATCAAAAATATATATGTAAATTCTTTATAGGGCAGAAAGGTTCTCAAACTGTTACTTGTGAGTACCAAAGCATTCTAAAATGACTGTCTCAACTTAAAATCGAAGAGTGTGGTTAAAAGTGCTTATACAGAACTACTTTAAGGCTATCAAGTTATGTCGCTAATTACAGTGATTAGGGAATAGCGACTGATTAAGTCAGATATCAGACTGCTGTAAAAGCAGTTAGCCCACTAATATCAGATTGGGGTTATCAAAAGATTGGGCGAGTGAACTGATACGATAACGATTCGAACAGGATAGGAAATCTGAAATGACGATCTGGAATTCCCCACCTGATAACTGCTCGGATAAGCATATCGCATTTACTATATTCGTTTCTTGCTGCCTTTTGCTATATGGCTTGGCCTGCAACTTTAGTCTCTTTCGATCTTTTGCCATCGATCGGTGTTTCCCGTTGACGGGTTTTCCAATAGTTTTACTGATAAACTCTTAACTTTGAGTGTGATGTGCCTATGAAAAGTTGCCTCAGGGCTCATGAAACAAATTATCTCGAACTGTGAAACAAATCTTTTTTTGCTGGTCTAAAAGTCTAATAAACTAGTGGCCAATGGAGAAATGCAAAGGCATTTGTTAAAAAGTGTGTAACAAAAGAAGTATAATATAAATATCTCAACATTTCGTAGATTTCAAATAGTTCGGGAACCTATCACTTAGTGCGTTGTGGATTTTAAAATTATTAATTATATAATTTTACCAATATTTCTTGAAAAAGATGAACTATAACTCTAAAAAATCGGCCACAATAATAGATAGAAATCTACGGTTATGTCGTCATCTACTGTTAACAAATTTATTTGAAATTTGTTAACTTATTGATAACGGGTATGTGATAGTCGCCGCACTCCACTTCATGTTGGCTTCCTAGTACTGTCGCGATAATTTAAGTGCATTGTACTAGATATCGATCTATGAGCGCATCGCATTGGTAACTTCATAGTTAAAGTTTGATTGTAGTTTAGTTACTGTTTAATTTAAGTATAATTTGAGTCAATCTTACAAATTACAAGTCTCCGCCAGCCTCTAGTTTACCTACATATACTAGGCTTTAGGCTATTAACGTTTCTTAATGTTCTGAAATTTCAGGGTGGTAAATTTTATTTGCCTTTGGGAATATCAAGCGGGAAGGATGTTATTGGAGAATCATTTTTCTCTCTTTTCAAGCAGAGTATACTCAAATAGAATGTGGCGTGTGGATTTGATTGTGTCACAAAACTGATCGCATTGAGGTGCTTCTTGGTTGTTGCATCTTAGTAGAAGGAAGTTTGCCATATTCTTTCAACTGATACTGTTATGTGGTGTTATATTCTGTTAATGAAAGTGGTGTATTTTGCCACATTGTTACGAATTCTTTTTTAAGTATTTTCTGTATGTTCTTTGTGTTGTTATAAGTCTCCATGATTCAGCCTAGAGGGGTACTTTCTTAGCGTTAAGGTGTGCAAGGTATCAGCGTGTAACCGTGAGACTTAGGTTTTCTGTAATAAGGTGGGATGACTAAATAAAAAATTATAAAAAATAATTATATTCTTCATATACAACTATAACATGTTAGCCATCTATGCTCACATATGTATGTGCTACCAAGCAAGTTGTTGACCAATCACTGAACTGTGATTATGTGAAAGGGAATTTCTATCAATCCATAAAAGTGTCGGTTTTTATCAACGAATATACATTATATTGAGCTAGCCTTTGTGAAAGGAGGTAGTCTTTATTATCAGAACATTATAAACCATCGGCGGATCCCCTGCCTCGGCACCACTTTGTTGGGATCTTATCGGATGAGCGTAATTATAATTAGGGATTGCACAACGGACAGGCTAGACTGTCTAGTGTGTGTCTACCGTAACTAGCAAATGCTTCTGCTTTCGTTTTCAGAATGGAGTTCAGCACGTAACCTCATCAAGGAATGCACGACACTCTCCAGCTCCTGGTTTTCTTGTAGTTCCAAACCAAAAGCACAGTGGACTTGGAAAACTAAGAATTAGCAGGCCAAAGTTTCCGAATCCAGAATGGCGACCTTAAGCTGTGGCTTTAGACGATGTGTACGTATGGGGTCTCTCCTCATACTTCTCGGGGTGGCGCTCCTGCTCATTTGGAGGAACTTACAGCAGGCGCAGAAGATTGCCGAAATCGGTAAGCTCAAATGTCTAGGATTTTCACAGACTAGCAACTCGTATCCACCAGGCTTTCCCGGAGACTATCTGGAGTACGTTGAACCGTCTGTCGTGCAACGAGAGGAATCCCCCCGCACTAAGGAACTGCAGCAGTTGGTAAAGTGTCGGAACCGATTGCTCCGCTTCCAGAGACTCCAGCACGGGGAGTACTGGCTGCTCCAGAACCTTGTGGTTGGCCGAAAGAGTCGGACCGTGGGCTGCGCCGAGTCTGTGACGTTCACCACCAATGGAGACTACTCGTTCTTCGACAATCTCGAAATGGTGGCTTCACGGTGAGTGGCCACAAATAAAAGTTCGTTATCGAGGCACAGCGCGGTCAAGATAATAGTACTAAACATTGTGAGCTACTGAAGTACTTTAGATGTTTTGTTTTTTGTATTTGTTGACGTTATTGTAATGTTTAGAAAGCCTTTTACTTAGTTTTCCTTCGAAGCCATATTACCTTACCGCAGGTCCTTTTACTTTGGCCGCAGCTGTGTGTAAGCAATGGAAATGTCTTAAAATTTTGGGTTTTCAAGATAAAAAGTTATTTATACAGAACAATCAATCTTATCGAATCCTAATAGGCTGAAGTAGTCTTTCCATTTGGGGTACTAAAAGCTGTTTAACATTCTAACTACTTCTTTGAAAGCAATATAAAGTGACCTACTTTGGGTAACATTCTTTTTCCCTGAAAATCGAACCTTTAAATTAATTTATGAGTACTTAGATTCTGATGATAAATAGAAAGTTTTGATTACTGAAAAGTAAACAAGAAAAGATGACAAGCCTTGTTTGTTTCTGCAGAAATCTCCGAATGTTGTCCCACCCTCTAATAACCTTATGTTTTAATGAACTGCCAGTTGGCGAGCTCCTGTAAGCTTTTCCATCTTTACTCCTGGGTACGACTTGAACACTACCCTAGATTCGATTCGGTACGTAAGGAGCTGTTTGCCGGAGAGCGAAGTCATCAAGGACTGGGTCACATTCCACGTGTACTTCCCTAGCAGGAACATGCCGGGCTACGTGCCATTTGACGAGGCAGAGGTGCTGGGCTTTCAGCACTTCTGCACCATGGCAAATGGATCTCAGGTTTCGCCACCCTACACACAGATACCTCGCAAAGAAAGCTTCAAGGTAAAGGCGAACCTCACCTATCCCATTAACGTGGGCAGGAATATAGCCCGGCAGGCGGCCAACACCCACTTCATCTTCGCCTGCGACATCGAGCTGTACCCCAGTTTGGGTTTTGTGGATCAATTCCTGGAACATGGTGGCCAGAAACCACAGTGTCCTGGCCTTGGACCCCAATCAGCCTAGAAGGGTGTATCCCCTGGCCGTCTTTGAGGTCGAGTCTGGAGTTAAAGTACCCGACGACAAGGCCGAGTTGCTGTCCCTCTACCGAAACCAGCAGGCACAGGTGTTCCATCTAAATCTCTGCCGCACCTGCCACATGATCCCAGGCCAAGAAGAGTGGCTCAACCGGACTTCCAGCGCAAAGGACCAGCTGCACGTGTTCAGTCAGACCCAGCGGAAGAAGAAGTTCCGAGCTTGGGAACCCTTCTACGTAAGCGACAACACGGAGCCACTGTTCGACGAGCGAGTTACCTGGGAGGGTCAGTCCAACAAGCGCATTCAGGTGAGAAATTCAATTCATTCTTCAAAGTTTTGATAGTCTTTTCGGTCTCGTCTTCTCGAAGTTAAACCCTTTCCGTTGACATGCGTTTGTTATTTAAAATATAATAGAATGTTCAAGATATTTCCAATGCTCAAAGACCTTCACAGCAACTTTCCTTTTATTTCAGAACTTTGCCATGTGCCTGTTGGGCTACGAATACCACGTCCTAGATCCGGCATTCTTGGTCCACAGTCCTGGTATAAAGGAACCCAGCAAAAGTGACTCTATTCGGCTCCAATATGCGAAGGAAATGACGAAGTTTATCAAGGACACAGTCGAGCCCGAGTATCGAGTGCTGTTCGGACAAAACTCCGCCTGCAAAACGTGACATTTTCTTTGCTATTTTCATGTTGCATATGTTGTATATAATTATATATAAGAATGTAATTACCTGCGTAAAGTTTGTAAGATACTCGATCGAGTATCGAGGATAATGATAAAGCACTTTAGGCAAATAAGTACCACCCCGAGGACGAACTTTTTATTTGATTTTAAGAGATGAAATAATACAGTAAATATATATTTGTTTGGGCATATGATTACGGTTCACACTGTACGTCAGAGCATTTCTTCTTTCGAGTTACCCTTTGGGTTAAACATTCGTAAGGATCTCAAGAAAACTCAAGCCATTCAAAAATATTTATACATCAATTGGATTATCATTCTTGAGCAAACCAAAAGGAGCTCGATATATATTTATAATGGTATTGCTTAGACTAGAAAATATATTATAAGCGACGTAAGATTGATAGGAGCTGACGATGGGATCCATTGTCTAAGAATGAAGTTTAACCTTCCACCATTCGGGATGCGGATGACGGATTGCCAAAGATTTGTCTAGACCGCTCTTTGCACATAGTCCTCATTGATGGCATTGCGTAGCAAGACGTTTGATAAGAGCTCCTTTCGGTGGAAATAACCAGAAGGGACTTCGCCAGGAGTGTTTTGTAGCACCCGATTACCAGTAACTTGGTACTGCCACCATTTTATTTGCGGCATGTCCCACAACTTTTGTCCTGGCTTGGGCATCACGTAGATAATTATTGGTTGCTTTGAGGTGGGATTCCCCGATGCACTTCGGCTGTAAGCCTTTCCGTTCGCAAGGGGGACGAGGGGATCGGCACCGTAAAGGCGTTGGTACTGCTCAGTCCGCACCAGGAACATAACCTGCACGAAGGCAATCAAGAGCAGCGTATCGTAGGCCACGAGCACTGAAAGGAAACCCAATCTTAGTCCCAGCACTAGCACTTGCCATTCAGCTTCCTACTTGCGTAAAAGGTCAGGCCAAGGGTTAGCAGAATTAGAGTGGCCAGAGGGACGTTATGTCTGGCGATCCGAAGGGCGATAATTGTGAAGACAACGACTTGCACTGTGTAAAAGAACTCGAAGACAGCCAAGGGTATCACGTGGTACTTCTTGAGCTGCGATCAAAAATTGAATAAATAGTTAGGTTGGACATCAATAGGTTCATCCGACCCATAAACCCCTACTCTACGCCTGGTAATATCATTGATTCGAGAATTGCCTGTGGCAACGTCACCTACTAATAGAATGTGCTGGTCGAACTAGGATGTAAGATCTACCAATAAGGAAAACTGTTCACCTTGTAGGCTCCATAGGCCGCCAGAATACAAGTTATAATATGACAAAAGCTATAGAGTTGGAAGAACATCATCAGCTCTTTAGGATCTGTAAGAAAAAATGAATAAAATATACGTTAAGGTCTACTCGTGATATGAGAAATTGCTATACTTTATGGCTGAGTTATTTATTTTTCAATAGTAGACGTAATTATTAGTTAAATAAGCAAATGATAAACTAAGGATGTTGCCCTTATTGATTTGGCAACAAGTTATTTGACAATTATTCAGTAATCTATTCCAAGTTTGTGCAGTCGATGGATTTATTTTAGAGTAGCGCATCATTGAAAATGAATAGAACTTGGTTGGGGTCCTGTAAATGGTTTAAGTTGCTTTCCATTTCTCAATCGGGGAAGTTCCCATTTATTAGGCTTACTTACGTGCTAAAGTACTATAAAGTCAAATTCATTTCAAACATGCAGCTAGGTAAAAAGATAATTCGGTCTTGCCAAGATACATTCCACTCACATTGCTCAACCCAGTCAACGGACTCCCTAATGATTGTGCTGGTCCTGTAATGATTCTCCAGTATGTTACCCAGCGAGAAGAGGAAAGATGTTCCATCGGTGAATATCATCCACATGATGACAGTGCTTTTTCAGCTAAACCCACGTAGAAGGAGTAAAAATAAACTGCAAACGGGACAAGATTTTGGTTGAAACTCACTGCGGCAATGGCCGAAATGAGCAGGACTCCCAGTCGCACCGAGGCGCAGAAGAAGTAGCTCTCCATTAGGACCATGTTGTTGCAGGACGGTCGAGCAGGTCGAGCAGGTCGAGCAGGACTATCAGGCCATAGGCTCCTGGAAAAGCCGGCATTGTGTGCTTGCTCTTTGAGATCTGTTCAGCGAATGATAGATGTTGGCCATTCAAACCTGAAATTGACGCTTTGGTTTTGGCCTCCATTACCGTTCGGCATGCAGATTGGCATCTTGAACATGGCTTTGTCATTTGCCGGGCGGTAATTGCTCCCGTTTCGTTGTTCGTCCGTGGCTGAATCACCAAATTTCATGACACACGGCCGGAGTACGCAGTGCTCAGTTCTGATTTACGGACCGACATTACCAGTAATACCAAATTCAATATGATATTAATGGAATCCTATATGTGTTATTGCTCGGTGCGACTAGGAGTTATTATCGTCTCTGTTCTGACTATTGTAAGCGACTATAAGTTTACTTTTTGGCAAGTGAAGAGCTCCCTTTCCGCTTTCAGATCCGGAGCCTATCCCAGAGTCTAACTCTGTTCATCGTGGGCGTAAAGGTCCTAGATCCATTAGTCGATTTGTTTGAGCACGATGAGGAGTACAAGGACAGGAAGTGGGTTAGGAAGTACATCACTTGGAGTGAGGACTGTGGGTGCCATGACCAGATCTGTTTAACCCGAGAATGCCATTTAATATTTCAAATTTTCAGCTCCCGAGAGCTTCTCTGCGGTGGTTCAGATCATGTCTTTTGCTCACATAGGAGCTGCCATCCTAAGTATTTGGGGTGCCGTGAAGGTATGTCTTAGCTAGAACTTAACCATCTTTACAGCCTCCTTTTTTATTCCGCGTATAGTTACGGAAATGGTTTGTGGTTCCCTTGGGCGTCTTTGAGTTTTTCTACTTCATAAACATTACGTTCCTTCACATCGTTCTGATGATCATGCTCAAGAAGCAAATCAACTTGGGCCTACTTATAATTCTGACTCTTATGGGATGTTTTTACATACGTAAGTATCCACAGTTTCTAGCATTCCCTCTGATTCCTCCTCTATTAAGTACACTGCCTCAAAGTACAAGTGCAAGCACTGAAATAAACAATTTCCTTATAGATTTAGAATTAATTTTAAGAGAAAATCAGATTCCTAATTTCAAATTTGTACATTACAAAATGAAGTATTATTTAGGGTTGCAGAGTATTTAAAGTTTTTACATACACTCTAAGTTGTTAAGCGATTTCTAAACTAAATAAGGAATAAATAGGAATTTCAGCTCTGTATGTACAGCATGTTGCTATTTAGCTCTGGCGCCCATTAGAATGACCCTCACCTGCACGGTTTCACAACTGAATGATCTCGAATTGAGTGAAATTTGTACTCACTATGACTTTGTATGTGTGAATCTGTATGAGTTTTTGAATTCCTCCATTCGCTTCATGCGAACACTTCTTTGACATACTGTGTAGTTAAAGAAAATTACGTTTAAAAAATATAGAATAAGTAATAAATGGAATGAGTATATCATTGAGTATGAATGCCACCACCAAAAGAACGACTTGACAAGCTAGTGCATTCGAAAAAATGATCTTATTTATTTGCAGTCAATTTGGATTCAGTCTTGAGCGACTGATTCTTATGTTCCCGCAGTTTGATAGTCTACATTTTTGATTCAATTGTCTAAACAAGTCTAATGGTTGTCTCCTCTCAGTATTCGTGGGCTACAATGCCTGCACCTGCGTGGCCATGTTCCAAATCATCACCCTGGTGAAGAGCGAACGCTATCGCGAGCTCTATGGGGACGATCCATTCCATCCGCTGGCCATGAGAAGCAGTCATCCGGAGGACTCCGAGAAGCCAGCACAGGTGCTACGGATGTACGACATGCACGACACAAACATCGACGAGCAGAAGAGGCTTAGCAAGTTGGGGCTGTGGCCACGTCATCATCCGCCGGTGGTGTCCGTCCTCCCCGCCCGGGCGCCCTATCCCCAGCCCCAGCTTAAGTGGTGGCAGCAGCAGGCCCTGAACACCGCCGATGACCACCCCCACGAGCCCTCCGTCTACGGTAACTGGCAGATGAGGGAGCTCCTAAACGGAGTGGGCGGAGATGTACAACGCAAAAGCGATCTCAACCGACGCTACGCCGAAAGCCAGATGTACCGATGGTACTGATTCTTCTTCAGTTTTTAAGGTAACATGCTATAGATAATTTTAGCTTTCTTGCTAACAAACACCTCTATTGTCATTTACAAGATATGCAATAAAGTTTAAAAACGAGCTAATGTCAATTATCGACTTCATTTAATGCGTAAAAGTGTCATTAATTACTCTTTTTACTAGCACACCCAAAGCCAGTACGTCTGGAGAATGTTTAGTCAAGTACCTAATACAAAAAAATGTAGATACCAGTGGATTTATAAATGAGTGTGTACTTATTTTATTTAATTTGATGTTGAAAGTAATATCCTGAAACCTGAAATCTGGTGCAGCTTCATTGTTTTAAGGCTAAGACATGTCCTTCTCATTAGGTTTATGGGTTTATTTGAAGATTAAACCCTATTAGAATGTTAGCATGTATTCTGGGCGTATATATATATGCTAGTCTGGTGATGTTCGCAATCTGCAATCTTCAGGGAAAGATTCCACTTTGAACTAGTTATATCAGACAACTTCTGTGTAATCCTCGTTTCGACAAAATAAAGTCAACTTATGAGGACGTATCAGGGTATTACAATGGGTAAAACCTACCCGACCTACAACGAATATAATGAACCACAGATGTGTTTTTAGGGCAGTGGCTTGAAATGATTGAGTAAGTCCTGCAGGCTCAGAAAGGCAAGAGTGTATTGCAGCCTTGAAGAAATCGAGTACCTACTAACACAGATTTCTCCAAAATTCAAAGTGTTGTAGCCCCAATAGCGAGCAAACAGCGTGAGTTTGAAAAGCCTTATCTACTTATTCAACAGGACTTCGATTCCTCTTTCCTGCACTTTACCGAGCTAAGCAACTCAGGGACCTCTCCCCGACAATATTCTCCCCCACCAGCAAAAGGACCAAAGTTTCTATCCCCTTGGTTTGCTGCTTGGGCTTTTGGTGGACACTTTGCATAAACGGCACTACAGATTATGCAACTGTCTGGGAGACACTTTGCATATCCTCGACCAGGAAGCGGGATGCTTCAATGGCCGGTTCGACTTACAATGCTTTTCTCTTTTTACATTCCCAACAAACTGCACGGCGCCCGGAAGAGTAGGGGTAATAGTATGGGGGAAGAGTAGGGAAAGCGTAGGGGAAGAGGACGAGGACACTTGGCGGGCCATTGTGTTGGCCAAACGACAAAAATCAAATGCTTAACAATTGGTGACGCTGGCAATGGACCATGAGTCGTCGTGGATAAGCAAGGAATTCGGGTCTGGAATGCAACGATACTCTCAAATTCCCCCTCCTTTCTCCAGTTTCGTCCTGATTCTCTGTGTTTCTCTGAGTGTCTGCCAACAGAAATCCCGTCCACATGGACATGACTTGTTCCCAGGAGATTTCTGGGTTATGTGATGACAGTTTTGTTGACTGCTGACTGTTTTCTGCTGCCTCTGATGCCCCTGGGATTGCAGCGACGTGTCTTGTTTGCACAACTTTTTAAAATAATTTAATTAAAAGTTTTAGAAAGTCAATCTCAGCTGACTATGTTAGTTTTGGAACGCAGAAAGCGTGGCCAATGCTGATCATTCCATATATTCGATTGCTTTAATTCAATATTTTTTTATGGCTTCCATTCATTTTTCCAGTTTTATTTGTTTATTAAAATCTTAGTGATAGTAAGCTCGTCTTATCCTTTCATCACCGTCTTCAAAGCAAACTTTCTCCTTGAGCCCCTGAAGCACATCAGCAATATCGTCAGGACCCTGCTAAGATACACGTAAGACGATACGTGTCCCTGATTATCTGCCGTGTGCTTAGTACGGGATTAGGTTGCCAAAAAAAAACGTGGCTTGGAGGCCAAGAGACTAGACCTTCTCACTGGCAAAACGTTTCAGGTGCGGACTTAAAAACAAAACCTGTTGGTATGATACCTGATGATATGATTTATGATTTTGGTACAAAGCTTGGAAGATAGTAGGCGTATTGCTTCTGACCAGAAGTGATTGTGCTGAGAGCGATAATAACAAAAAGAACTATGGGCCCCTGGCGCTGGTCCTAGTCCGCTCCTGGCTGAGTAAATGTAAAGTGTTATCCCGGACAGGCTCAACAAGTCGGTGGGACACTCGGCAGTTCGAGGTGGAGTGCAGCAGTTCGACTAGACAAGGACTTCTTGCAAGGACTTTTAATTCAGTGTGCGTGTGTGAGCTAAGCTGAAAAGGATTTGACCCAGGACGCAGCTGGAAAGTGAATTAAAGATTACCTTGGAGTGATTTGCGAATCTCAGGAAAAACTAAATGGAAAATTTATGGAATAAAACATTATTTAGGAGTTTTATTTGATGACAGCTGAAAATTGCACTTCCGACTTAGTTTCTAATTCGGCTTGTCAGGATGAGACCCAAAGTATTTACTGAGTGCCTCCCAGTGAGTTATTAATGCAATACTTATGCACATTTATTCCCACCAGTACATAAAATACAATTTGGGCAATCCTTTGCTCAACCTGGCTTGCACGGCAGGGGCGTTTCCTAACTACGATTCCCGCTCAGATTGTGGGCAGGTGATGCTCGGTGCGATGGAGAAGGTTTGCGTTCTTGTTCAGAGGCTGCAGCTTCACGTAGTCCTGGTGCGGATGGTGATGATGCTGCGTGCTGGGCAGCAGCGGTAATGATGTGTTCGAAGTCTGTAAGTGAAGGAAGGCATCGATTAGTTTCACCTTTTCTATTAAAACCAATTCACTAAAACTGAAACTAAAGTAGAATGGCGCCGACATCGCTGTTTAAGATATGGTTCCAGCTCCGATTCCCTGTTTAGACTTTGATCAAGTCCATTTTAATTTGCCTATTTTGTCCAAGGGCATATATGCTATATAGTAGGGTCGAGGATATGGCATTCTCTGTGTTACAAAACTAGGACCAAATTACAATATCCCTGACACAGTAGCTGTTAAATAATTGCATATATCCCTACACTAACTCGAATTTAGGTGAACGAACCTTTGATTTGTCCCGGGACGCCGCGATGGCCGCCGCCTGGGCCGGACCCGTCTGCAGTTGCTGGGCCGCTGTGGCCAGCATGAACTGCTGGGAGGCGAGTTGCTGCTGGCGGAGATTGGCCGCCTCCAGGCTATTGACGTGCTCCAGCTCCCGCTGCCTGGCGATGTAGTCGTCGAAGTAGGAGTGCTTGATGAGCTTCTCGCAGGACCAGCGCTTGGCTGGGTCCTTGTCCAGGCACTTTTTGAGAAAGTCGATAGTCAAGGGGTTCTGCTGCGACTTGGCTGGCATCTTGTCCTCCAGCGGCTCCAGCGTGGGCGGCACAGGCAGCGTGATGCCCTTGAAGTACTCGTTCTGTCCGAAGATCTGGATGTGGCGCTGCAGCAGGTCGCCGAGGGTCTTGCGGATCAAGTAGAGCTGGTCGACGTCGCTGCGTCCAGGCCACAGGGCCTCGCCCCGCACCAGCTCGGCGAAGAGGCACCCGATGGCCCACACGTCTACTGGGGTGCCGTACTGGGTGTCGCCTACCAGGAGCTCCGGCGCACGGTACCATCTGGTGGCCACGTAGTCCGTGTAGTTCTCTCCTGGACTCAGCATGCGGGCGAAGCCAAAGTCGCACAGCTTCACCTGCCCCTGGGCCGTCAGCAGGATATTTTCCGGCTTGATGTCGCGGTGCAGGCAGCCCTGCTTATGACAGTAGGCCACGCCCAGCAGGGTCTGGTAGCAGATCTGTTTGGTCAAGTGCTCCGGGCAGCCCTGCGGATGCCGCTCCAGCTCGTGGAGTACCGTCAGCTCGCAGAACTCGAAGACCAGGTGGAGGCGCCGCTTCCGGCGGAACACTTCCAGCAGGGAGACCAGGTTCGGGTGCTTGAGGTTCTGAAAGTTAGCATATTTACTATTTGGCTTAAAAGAAACTTCATTTTGGGATGCACGATGGGTTCCCGCTTTTACAGTGTTTTCATTTCATGGAATTTGTTTTTAATATTTGGATAAATCTAAATTTGAAACTTCAAACGTCTTGAGCTGGTGCTAGTCCAAAAAGAGCACTTAACCAAAATATTTAAATATATAAAAAATCAGTACATAAACTTACCTTCAGTAGCCTAATTTCTCTCAGTGCAATTTTTCGTATGGCTGGATCGTCCTCGGACTCTACAAACCTCTTTACCGCCACTAGGGCACCCGTTTCCCGATCCCGGCACTTGTAGACAACGCCATAGGAGCCTTCGCCCAACCGACTGAGCTTCTCGTAGCGATCCATTTTGCTGCTACCTTGTGGTCTGCAAGAAGGTACAAGGAAGAGTTAGTTCGGAGTCCCATCCCCCTATCGGTGGTTTCGAAAAGTTAGTTTGAGTTAGGAGTGGTTTACCTTAGGCTCAAACACTGACCACGTTTGATGTTTGCACGTCGCATTGCTTTGCATTGAGCACACAAAGTGTTTATAAACTTTTCTGTTTGATAGCTCAGACACGAACACATGTGGGATCACAGGGACGGACTTGCATTCGAGTGTACGAGTATGGAGTGACTTTCGATCTGGCATTTACTTTGGGGCTGATTTTGATGGGTTTGCGTATTTACAGGTTTTGGTAGCGGGTAAGGTTATTTTGGGATGTCCAGAATATTGGTTACACGAATTCGGAATGATTAGGTTAGTTGATTTCGATGGAATGAAACAAAAAGCAAATGAGAAACGTTTAGAGTGAGAATTATCAAATAAAACGGAAAATTGTGGTCGGAATGTGGGAAAACAATGCTTCGTGTGGAGTCTCTCTCCTAAAGGTCCTTGAAATGCCTCTAACCGAATGCGGTCTTGAATATTCTTGATTTAAGTCTATACTGTCAGTATATAAATAGATTAGAATGTTCTAGTCGGATATTACGTTTGCTTAAATTATGATCTCTCGACCAAGTCTCTCAAATCAAGTTGCCTGCAGAGGCAGATAAATCAATATTTGCCGCAGCCAATTCCATTAGTTTTAGATACATAATAATTAGCTTCCTAGAGTCCATCAGCACGGAAAAAATCGATGTTGTACACGAAACGCTATTAGGGTTTGGTTTCACCCCTTTAAGATAATTGGATATTAGTGGAAAATATCAAATTGGGAGCAGCAGTTCCCGATTGTCATATCTGAAAGTTATATTTCTGCTGGTCGGGCCAAACCACTTTTCTGCACTAAAGGCCGCACTTAATCATTCCAAAATCTTGTGAGTACTAAAATCTATCGGTATAGAAATTGTACTTTTCTTCTAGATACGGAACGAGGACCTATTAACTCCCGAGCATGAGCACGAAAGCGAAATCGATTTTGAGCTGGAAAGCATGTTTCTTTGAAATTGGCATTACTGGGCTCGCCGAGGACTTTACAAGTTGGCAGTTCAATGCCAACGGCATAGGCCCGGGTTACTGAACTTTGCCTGAGGCCCTCTGCATCCTTTCTCTCATGTGTGTAGGTCATAAACATAACGTGCAATTAAACTATGTGGACTGGTGGGGTGGCTGCGGGAGGCGCAATTTAACGACAGAAACACAGGACACAACACAGGAAGAAGAGGCAAGCAGATGACTTACCTAGGCACCCATCTGGCTAAAATCTGACGTATTTGCCACTAAAGTTGTATTTTGAATGCGGATGAAGTGGATTTATTTGGGAACAGATCTGGGTAACTCTACGATACACACCATGCGCCAAATATTCCTCCTCGCCCGCCGATCAATAAGTGCTTCAATGGGTAGACCGCTCGAACGGACGTATGTATGTTGTGACTGACAACCAACCACTGAGGACTAGGGGACTCGCTGGCCTGCTCCCCGGTCTGCGCTGCCAGGTCGACTCCACCCACTGGCCAATGTCATAGCAATGCGACCGAAGTTAACAAAGCAAAGAACCACAACAAAACCAAATCCATGCGCAGTTGCCCCAAAGTTGTTCAAGAAGTTTCCCCCTTTGTTGTTTTTGCTGGCGACGACCGGAAGACATTCAAGGTGTGCTTCCCTGGCTTTCTTCGGTCTGCTCCTTACACATTCTGAGGTTACCTGGTGGAAGTTCCCTGTCCAGGGACGGGAGTGGCTTAGGAACTGGGTCCTTTGGCATAGATTGCTGGAGGATTCTCCAGGGCCTGCAGCAGTGCAAGGTGCTTGTCGTGACTGGTGGTACTAGGGGGTTTAATCTGGGGTCCTTATTACTTATTAATGTTTGAATCACCGTGCAATTATGGCGTTATTAGGGGTAGCTTTCCCTGCTTAAGCTAATCCCTTTGCCAGGGGTCAGTCATTGTGTAAGTTGCTCGAACGCTCTACTTTTCACGTTTTTTTGACTTATAACTAAGTTGTATTTTTGCAAGTTCAGTCTAGACTGCCTAATATTAGCACACATTTATTTACTGGCATACCTTCGCAATGAGAACAGTTTCGAGATCTCGAACATTTTCATTGTAACTCCGAATTTTCCCCAGTACACTCGATGTCTATATTTAGTCTGCTTTCGTGTTTTCGTGTTAACTTCACTTGGGCCAAACAATGGACGCGAGAGCTTTTTGGCAGAACGACACGATGTGAAGACGCTAAGAGCCGGCAAACGACTGAGGCGAGTTGGCTGAGACTGAGTTAGGCCAGGTCGGAGTTGGTAGGCCCTCGCTGGCATCAACGGACATTGCACATACGACGAGTTGGCCGCTGGCGACTTTGATTTCTATGTTTTTGTTTGCTCAGGTCTCGCGTGTCTCATTTAAAATGCATTAAAATGCAATGGAATAGCACGAAGGTGAGAGTCGAAAACAAATAAGGAGCGATTAGCACGCATACAATATGGGAGAGATGGAATAAGAAATACGACCATATGAATGATTTCGTTTGGCCAAGAAAAACTTGTTCGGATCAATCCTCCTTTTTCCTTCAAGTTCGCTTCCCAGAGGTCTCTCCTTTTCGAAGGTGCAAGGGGGGAGTACCCACAGCACCCTCACTGGCATAATTACAGAGAAGTCCCGTCGACCGCATTCTGCCGTTACCACCAACCTGCACGCCTATTTATACATTTGACAGCTTTTGTTTTCCGCGTAAGCACTTCAACTTTCCCCACTTTGATTTTTCCGTTATTCCCGACTGCTCTGCCATTTAATTATATTTTTTCCGTTAATTGTTCGCTGTAGTTATTTGCACACCATCCTAATGAATTGTTCATGTCCTTGGGGTCAACGCTTCCCAGCTCAGCGGCCCTCAAGCGTATTCCATAGGTAGGGCTGTTCTGTATTTACCTCTACGATTTTGACCATTGGTATTTGTGTTGAGCAGCGGAAGGGGAGGTGCAAATATATAAGTTTATAGTGATGATGGGATGATGGCCGGGCGAAGAGAAATGTGAGATTGTACAATTGTTTAAGGAATATAATCTTTAAGGAAAAATGGGGAATTACATTGTGCAAATCAAATCAAATACTGGGCTTTTTCCAAGATTTATAAGATTTCATAATCGTTTTGTTAGTCTGCTCTTTTGCGGTATAACTTTAAATAAATGAGTGAAAGGTTCTTTTCAGTGTGTGGCTTTCGCGAAAACACAAGTAGCAACGAAAAGTTGTTTGGCAAAGCCCCCGTCGCCTTGCTAGGTCCGTGAACCTTTTCCGCAGAAAATCATAGCAAAGTGGCGGGATGGTTCTGTTGAGGTGGCCTTTTGGGTAAACAGGCGTAAAATGCAATAAATAACAGGCTATTAATACCAAATGCTCACTCACGCACAGAGCGTCCCAAAGTTGGTGCGAGGTCTGAACGAAAAGCGTTGCATACTTACGAGGAGCAGGACTGACAGTGCAGTGGGCGGGGGGTGAAGCAGCCATATGCGTGTGAAATCAAAGGCCAAGGCCGTTGCAACACCAGTCGACTCAAATGTCATTGGGAAAAGTTTATCCTCTTCGGTGGCTTTGGCACAGCCTTTCCCTTTCATTCGGCAGAAAGTTGGCAAAGCTAATTAGGCCCACGAACAGGGCTAATCGACCCACCTGTGCTCTCTGGTCTGGGCTAAATCCGGCTCATTGCACACCTGGATCTTCTGTATGAGGCGGTGGAGGAACGAGTTGTGGAAGGATTGCGGAAAGTAGTGCGAGTAACTCTGAAACATTGCACGTCGCAATGGGTTCGCACGGCTGCAGGGTCCCAGGATGACTAAGGCTCACTTCAACGGTCTCCCGACTATTTATTTTATCGATACATGATTCCAAATGCAACGGACATCATGAATACTTTATACATGGAGTGACATTCCTCCTCAGACAGGTGCAAAAGGGCTCAGATTCTGACGTGTCTCGTGTCGGCAGAGCTTTTTCATTTTGTTTAAGATTTTTTGGGTCAGAAAACATGCGGCAGGGGCAACGGCAGCAGCAAAGGCAGAGGCAAATGCAAAGGCAAAGGCAAAGGGACATGCAAATGAGTCAGGCGCATTATGCGAGAAGTGAGAGTTGCGACAGGAGGCCAGCGAGATTGCTGGATTGCGAGGGGCTGGCTGAGGCAGAACTTGCCACATGCCAACGTGAGGCACACGGAATCAGTAGTTCAAACTGGGAAATAACTTGGGGCTTGGGGGATTCAATTATGTAAGGTGAGCGAGGTTGGGATTTTCTGTGGGAATGGGAGCGACTGTCAAATGCCATGAAAGCGGCCAAGGAAAGCGAGTTCCAAGCTGGCGAATCTAAAAATGATTCAAAGCCAAGCCTTCCCATGTCACCTAAAAGGCAACTATTTTGGTTGGATTTTTTACCTATTTAGTTGGTCAATTTGTATGTTCCAAATTTATTGAAAGTATTAAAATAATTTAAAATACTTCAAATTTGTATTGCTAGTTAAATTATATCGCTAAATCCTCCAATCGTAAAAGAGTAGTGATTAATCGGAATGGGTTAACTGAAATTAAACACCAAACTCTCCAATAGCTACTAATAGTTAACCAAGTTAAACAAATCAATCACTTGTATTGGACAGTTATCCAAGTTACTAACTTGATCAAGGTCACTGCCCGAGGCTCTCTGGATACATTCGACTCTTAGTAAGGACTAGTAAGTAAGTAAGGACATCCCTGCCGAGTCTATTCAATTCTTGATATAAAACAAGAAGAAATGCTATAGTAGAGAGCCGCGACTGTAAGATACCCGTTACTGTTTTACACAATTTTAAACCGAAAAGCGTCTCTTCCGATTTTAAAAATCTTTGGTAAATCGAGAGATATTGAAAAAAATATGTTATGCAAGGTCAAACGAAGACGCCATTATGGACGCCACAGTTTTTCGCGGTTTTTGGGCGTAAGAGTGGGCGTGACTAACTGGAAAAAAGTATGTAACAGGTAGAAGGAAGCGTTTCCGACCCTATAAAGTATATATATTCTTGATCAGGATCAATAGCAAAGTGGATTGAGCCATGTCCGTTTGAGAGATACAAAGTTGAGACTAACGCCCACCAATCACGAAAAACTAAAATCGCTGAAATCTCAGGAACTATTAGAGCTAAAAAATTGAAATTCAGTATCTATAATCTTTAGATGCCAGCGCATCTTATGGTGGTACCATTATTTGGCCACACCCACTTTTACGCCCACCAAACTCAAAAGACGGGTTTCGCATTTTGTAAAAAAGCTGATTTCTCGGTAACTATAAGTGATAAAAAGTTCGGAATAAACGTGTAGGTTTTTATGTTGCCCCCAATGCGAATTGTTATTTTCACATCTAGCCACGTCCACCCTAACGCCTTCCAAACCCGAAAATCCAAAAATGCAAAAATCTCGGAACTATAAGAGCTAGTCAGTTAGGCTTAGGAATACATATTTTAGAGGTGGCGCTGCAACTCGACATGAGTTTTCATCTGGCCACGCCCATTTTAAC